AAATCTCACAAGCTCTAAGACTGATATTTGTCTGTAGAATAAATCATCCTTAAGTTGAAAATAGTCCCATCCTTCATTTCTGACAGTGACAATGACAGCAGCAGCCACTTGGGCTTGGCTTGGGGTCTGTGCTCCCATCTCACAGAGCCCCTGGGTGGGCTGGGGGACATTCCTGTGCCCTGTGCAGGTGACAGTGCTGGCTGTCACCTGCAGGTTCCCAGGGGGGGTTGCTGTGTGTGAATAGAGTTGGGCTGGGGGTCACTGGTCATTGCTGTCCCCAGAGCAGGTGGCAGTGCTGGCTGCTGTCCCTGCCCTGCCGTGGATTTGGGGGTTGCCCAGTGAGAGAACTGGGCTGGGGGTCACTGGTCATTGCTGTCCCCAGAGCAGGTGGCAGTGCTGGCTGCTGTCCCTGCCCTGCCGGGGATTTGGGGGTTGCCCAGTGAGAGAACTGGGCTGGGGGTCACTGGTCATTGCTGTCCCCAGTGCAGGTGACAGTGCTGGCTGCTGTCCCTGCCCTGCTGGGATCTGGAGGTCACTGAGTGTGTGAATAGGGGAGCTGGGGGTCACTGGTCATTGCTGTCCCCAGTGCAGGTGACAGTGCTGGCTGCTGTCCCTGCTTTGCTGGGACCTGGAGGTTGCTGTGTGTGAATAGAACTGGGCTGGGGGTCACTGGTCATTGCTGTCCCCAGTGCAGGTGACAGTGCTGGCTGCTGTCCCTGCCCTGCTGGGATCTGGAGGTTTCCAGGGAAGTTTCCCAGTGTGTGAATAGAGCTGGGCTGGGGGTCAGCCTGACCCCATGGCCACAGACTGTGACACTGTGGGGTGTGTCCTGGAGGGGGTGTCCTGTACAGGGTGTCCTGGGGGTGTATGCCAAGGTGTGTCCTGTGGTTTGTTCCAGGGGTGTCCTGGGGGTGTTCTGGGGTTTGTTCCAGGGTTTGTTCCAGGGGTGTCCTGGGGGTATTTTGGGGTTTATTCCAGGGTGTGTTCTGTGATTTGTTCCAGGGGCGTCCTGGAGGTGTTTTGGGGTTTATTCCAGGGTGTGTTCTGGGGTTTGTTCCAGGGTTTGTTCCAGGGGTGTCCTGGGGATGTTTTGGGGTTTGTTCAGGGGTGTCCTGGGGATGTTTTGGGGTTTGTTCAGGGGTGTCCTGGGGATGTTTTGGGGTTTGTTCAGGGGTGTCCTGGGGATGTTTTGGGGTTTGTTCAGGGGTGTCCTGGGGATGTTTTGGGGTTTGTTCAGGGGTGTCCTGGGGATGTTTTGGGGTTTGTTCTGGGCGTGTCCTGGGGGTATTTTGGGGTTTATGCCAGGGTGTGTTCTGGGATTTGTTCCAGGGGCGTCCTGGAGGTGTTTTGGGGTTTGTTCCAGGGATGTTTCCCTGGGGGTGTCCAGGGCAGGGTCTGTGTGCTGGGAGAGTTGTGCTGCTGTGCCTGAAGGTTTTACCTGATTCCCTCAGTAAAGGAGCAGCAGAGTTCAGTTCTTCCACTGTTGCCTCTGCACAGAAAATGTCCTTTTTATTCCTGAAGTTTGGGGCTGTGCATGATTGCAGTTTGATTTTGGTATCTGCCATATCCTTACTCCTCCTTAGTGGCAGCAGTACCTGCTATTCACTTCGACCAAAAATCTGAAATTTTTAATGATACAGAATTGCAAGAAGAAGCTTTGACTCGCTGGCTGATATTGGGAATTTTTAAAATGTTTCTGCAGCCACTGCAACCTGCTCCAAAGGAAACATCTCAAGGTGGCTCTGTTAGAAGTTACTGGATGAAATTTTGTCCTTCAAAATTTCCCTCCAAAATGTTTCTGTTAATCATGCTGGTTATTAAATAGATTTATGGGGGAAAAAATCCCATATAAGAATTTTAGGTTTAAAAATGCTGAAAAAAATGACAGAATTTTTTGACTTCTTGTCTGACATCTCACTAGATGCTTCCTGTTTTCCTTTTCATTTTCTTTGAAATAATTTTCAGTGTGCTTGGAAACCTCACTCACCCTTAGATGAGAAAGAAGCTTTCCAGGGCACACGCCTTCAGCTTTCAAAGGATCTGTGTTTGATGCTAAAGTCTTGTTTTCAGAATCCTGGCATCTTGCTCAGATCAAAGCTGCTGTTTGGAAGGGTTTTGTTAGTTATGTATTTATTATTTAAGTGTCTACTCAAACTTCCAAGCTCTTTGTTTGGAAATGGAGGCAAGCAGGGAGAAGCAGAGCTTGCCAAGAGGTGTTGGATGCCCAGCAGTGGCTGTGTGAGGGCACCACAGAACCCAGAGGGTGGCAGAGCACCCAGGAGGAGCAGAAAAAAGAAGGAAAAGTGTGGAGAGCAAATACAGGGATGAGGAGCTGAATTCCCCAGTCAGTATTTAGGTGGATTTTTGAAACAAAGGAGATTTTTCTTCCAAAGTTCTTGTCGGAATTTCAGGCTGGAGGAGGAGGAGGAGGATGCAGCTCTCTGAAGGCTTTGATACTCATCAGTGACTCTCTGGCACTGCAGTGCCCCAGGGAATTCCAGGATTGCAGGCTCAGGGTGGTGGCACGCTGACTCAGGAGCTTCCATGTGAGTGCCAGGCCTGCAGGTGGGCACCCAGAACCCCCTGTGCCATCCCTGCAGGAAGGAGCAGCCCTGCATTTGGGGTGCCTGGGCTCACTGCAGGGGCTCCCCCGTTACCCACACAGCTGATTCTCTTCACTGTCACATTTTCTGAAAAATCCCCTTGCCCAGGAGTTCTCTCCTGGGAAGCTGAGAAGCCTCAGAGAAAAATGAAAACAATATTATCTGATTTGCTTCTCCTGTGTTTTGCTGCTTTGGAATGTAGTTTGGAGATTGTTTGCAATCAGGTTACAAACAGGTGGTTGTTTCATTAGTTTCATGTGAATTGTTTTTGCTTAATGACCAATCACAGCCAAGCTGTGTAGGGGCTCTGAAGAGAGTCACAAATATAATATAATATAATATATAATGTAATGTCATAAAATAATAAATTAACCTTCTAAAAACATAAAGTCACATTCATCATTTCCTCCCTTCGACGGGGATCTCAGAAAATACCACACTCAGCAGTGTCCAGGCTGCAAATTCCTGGTTAAGTGCAGCTGACTGAACAAATCCTTCATGATCAGCACCAAAATTGGCTGTCAGAGGAATCCAGGCTGTCCCTTCCTTCAGCACCCATGGGTACAGCTCTGGGATCAGGATGATCAGCTGCTGGAAGTGCCAGGCCATTGCCACACCAGTTTTTATGGCAGAGGGATGAAGAGCTGTGGCATTGATGTCTTTCACTCCATATTTAGTGTTTGTTCTGGTAGGTCCCAGGAGGTTTTCAAGTTGGGAATGAAATCACAGCATCACAGTGACTTTGGGCTGGGAGGGACCTTAAAGCCCAGCTTATTCCACCCCTGCCATGGCAGGGACACCTCCCACTGTCCCAGGCTGCTCCAAGTTCTGTCCAACCTGGCCTTGGGCACATCCAGGGGCACCCACAGCTTCTCTGGGCACCTGTGCCAGGGCCTCACACCCTCACAGGGAGGAATTTCTCCCATATATCAACCTCTCTGTCAGTCTGAACCCATTCCCCTTGTCCTGTCACTCCAGTTCCTGATGAGCAGTCCCTCTCCAGCTTCCCTGGAGCCCCTTCAGGCCCTGCAAGGTCTGAGGTCTCCACACACCTTCTCTTCTCCAGACTGGACATTCCCAGCCTGGATTCAGTCCTCCCACTGCCCCAGGCTGCTCCAAGCCCTGTCCAGCCTGGCCTTGGGCACTGCCAGGGATCCAGGGGCAGCCCCAGCTGCTCTGGGCACCTGTGCCAGGGCCTGCCCACCCTCACAGGGAGGAATTTCTCCCATATATTCATCCTAAATTTCCTGTCTGTCAGTCTGAACCCATTCCCCTTGTCCTGTCACTCCAGTTCCTGATGAGCAGTCCCTCTCCAGCTTCCCTGGAGCCCCTTTAGGTCCTGCAGGGTCTGAGGTCTCCACACAACCTTCTCTTCTCCAGGCTGGACATTCCCAGCCCTCCCAGCCTGGCTCAGTCCCTTCATCAACTTCATGGCTTCCTCTGGAGCTGCTCCAGCATTTCCTTGTCCTCCTGCTGCTGGGGACACCAGAGCCTTGGGCAGAATCATCTCCTCAGGGCTCAGAGCCTTCCATTGCCATGCACGTGTCCCCTGCACTGCAGAGATGTGTTGGGCACTGTGTGCAAAGAATGCCCTTCCAAAATAAAAGATGAATTTATTGAGATGCCCTCAGTAGGTTTTGTGAAGGTATTGGGTGTTGCAGTTTTGATTTTAAGCTTCACAGAATGAATTTCATGTTTGGTGAGGTCTGAACTGGAAGTAAGTGTGAGTTTCAGTTTTTCCATGTGTGTGCATTATCACCCCCCTTCCCCTCCATACAAACAGAATAATTTGAGTTCTTTTATTTTGCTTATTTTCCTGGCTGTCAGTGCTGTGCTGGGAGGAGAAGCTGTTGGTGCAGGGGCTGGGGGGACATGGCTGAGCTGCCAGCAGGGCTCTGCAGGGACAGGGTGACAGTGCCAGCCCTGCCAGGGCACTGCTCAGCACCATGTGAGCTCCTCAAGTGCTCTCACACTATAAATAGCACAGCACTTTGTTGTTTGTGGGTTTTTAGTAATAAACATCAACAGTATTTTTTGGAGGATATTTGTAATAACTGGGGGACAGATTAAATGGTTTGTATTTCCAGACTTGGGAGTTTGGGTTTTGTTAACATCAGCAAAGCCTCAGCTTTGTCCACCATTAAAACATTTTGCTTTAAATATGAATATCACTCTTACTTGCTGAGTGTGTTTATTTTATTGTGACATTTTATTATTTAAATTACTGGTATTACTATTGTTTGGTTTAAAATTAATAGGATCATGAAGCTTCTGTTTATACAGTAACCCTGATACCAGAGCAAGTGTTAATCACCCAAACATAAAAAGATACTGTGTTACTCAAAGTGATACTTTGTACCCTGTTCCTAAAGACTTTTTTTCTTTATTAACTCTTAGGACCCTTCCAAGTCTTACAAGAAAGCTGGAGAAGTTGCAGCAGTTGAGTTACATGTGGAAGAAGGTATCGAAGTAGAAACAACCCCTTTATCTAAGAAAGTTTCCCCATTGCATTCTGAAATGACAGATTATATAAAGTCATCTCCTCCGACCCTTATCAGTAGCCATAATTCTGATTTAAAGGATAGAACAGAAATTAACGGAGCAACAACTGTCACAGAAAAATTGGCTCAACTGATTGCAACTTGTCCTCCTTCCAAGTCTTCCAAAACCAAGCAGAAGAAGCCTGGAAGTGGAAATGGAGCTACATCTGGTTTGGTGAAAGACTCTGGGAAGAAGCTGCCAGGAGCTATAACTGCAAGTGGGTTGGTTAATAAAGATTTGGTGAAGAAACTGCCAGGCTCTGGGATTGCTGTTGGGTTGGTGAACAAGGACTCAGGGAAGAAGCCATTAGGGATTGGCAGCGCAGCCATACTGGTTAACAAAGACTCTGGGAAGAAGCCCCAAGCAATCAGCCCCTTAATTGGATTGGTTAGCAAGGACTCTGGGAAGAGGCCTCCAGGGATCAGCACTCCAACAGGGTTAGTCCACAAGGATTCAGGAAAGAAGCAGCCAGTGACCAGCTCTGCAGTTGGGTTGATCAGCAAAGACGTGGGGAGGAAACTTCCAGGGATCAGCACTCCAGCTGCACTGCCCAGCAAGGAGCCTCTCAAGAAACCAGTAGGGATCAGCAGTCCAGCAGGACTGGTTAACAAGGATGCTGGGAAGAAGTTGTTGGGAATAAATAGTCCTACAGGTCTGCTTAACAAGGATTCTGGAAGGAAGATGCCAGGGAGTGGGAACAGCACAGCTCTGGTTAACAAAGACTCTGGGAGGAAGACGCCAGGGATTGGCAGCCCCATGGGACTGGTTAGCAAGGACCCTGGCAGGAAGATGCCAGGAATCAGCAGTCCTGTGGGATTGGTTAGCAAGGACTGTGGGAAGAAGCCAGCAGGGATTGGCAGCCCAGCTGGTTTGGCTACCAAGGACTCTGGAACTCTGAAAGCAGACTCCCTCGTGCCCTCCTCAGAGCCCTTTAAGCTTCCTTGCAATTCAAACCTCAGTAGCCTTGAAAGCCACGAGCCTGCGGATTTACTGAAGGAAAATACTACCAGCAAAACCTTTGAGAAGCACATCATGAGACAGAGCAAAGAAAGCATCTTGGACAAGTTTTCAATTCGGAAAGAAATTGCTGATGTAGGCAAAGAGATGTTCAGTGAAGGAATGTGTGTTCCACAGGATGCCTACTCATCCAGTGAGAAAGGGATTTATGAAATGTCTAAGCACGAGAAGCAGCCTCCAGTTTATTGCACTTCACCAGACTTCAGGACAGGAGGTGCCTCGGAGGTGTCGACAGCCAAGTCCCCGTTCAGTGCAGTGGGAGAGGGGAATCTCCCGTCTCCTTCCCCCACTGTGTCTGTCCCCACCCTGAACAGGAGCCTCTCCACAGCCTCCTCCCAGCTGGCATCCAACTCGTTGCACTTAAGTTCCACGGCAGAGCTCTTGGAGGGCATTTCAGAGCCCATGGGCAAAACGCCCTTCTCCTCGGACAGCTCCCTGCTGAGTCTGAACAGGACATTGAACCACACCCTCAGCACTGATTTTAAAGGTGCTGAGAAAGACTTAAGTGATTCAAAAGCATCTTACGTGGAAACTTCAAGAACAAGTCCTCCCACGGGGAAAAAGCCCATTTTGGCAGCTGAGACAAGCATCCACGCTACTGTCACCCCTTCAGTAGTTAGTTTTACCAGCTTGTTTGGTAGCAAGCAGTTCCTCAAGATCGGTGCAATAGCTGCATCTGAGAAATCCTGCCAAGGAGCAAAAAACCTGAGCAGCACTCAGCAATCAAAACCTTTAAAGAAAAGAAAAGGAAGGAAGCCACGATGGACTAAAGTGGTGTCGAGAAGCACGTGCCGACCTCCAAAGGGTCTGGAACTGGAAAGGTCAGAGCTTTTTAAAAACATTTCCTACAGTGCACTATCGAGCAGTAATTTGGAGCAGGCCAAATTCCTGAAAAACATGGGATCATCCTCGTTTGTGGAGCATGAATTTGTCAAACATCAGTTGCCAAAGCTGAACGAAGCTAATGGACAGTCTCTGGCACTGCTGGCTGAGACTGACAAGCAAACTCAGAAGTTCTACAGCGCTCACAAACAACCCTCCAGCTTGTGTATGTCAGATGATTTCTTAACTGACATATACAAACCCAAGAGAGGAAGACCTAAATCCAAGGAAATGCCAGAACTCGAAGGTCCCCCCAAAAGAACTCTCAAGATCCCAGCATCAAAAGTCTTCTCAGTGCAGTCAAAAGAAGAGCAAGAACCTCCAATTTTGCAGCCTGAAGTCGAAATTCCCTCCCTAAAACAAAGCTTATCAGGACAAGCTTTTCCTAAAAAGAGAGGAAGGCCTAAAAGGCAGATCCGGTCATCGATAAAAATGAAACCACCCATTCTGTCTGTGGCACCTTTTGTTGGAACAGAGAACTCGAGCAAGATGGGGCCTGAAAGTGAGCAGCATCGGCCCGGGGAGTTCTTTGAGAGGAAGGACCAGCTCCGAGGGCCAGAAGAAGTCCAAAGCCCCAGTATTTGTAGCATGAGTGATTTGGAAGTAGACTCAGACAGAAAAGTTGCCAAGAGAAATAACGGACAGTTAATGAAAACAATTATTCGAAAAATAAATAAAATGAAAACCCTGAAGCGAAAGAAACTCCTGAATCAGATTCTGTCCAGTACAGTGGAACCAAATACCAAAGGGAAGATGCAATCCAAGCTCCACAACACCGTGTCAACTCTTGCTGCCACGTTCGGTTCAAAACTAGGCCAGCAAATCAACGTCAGCAAGAAAGGAACCATTTACATAGGAAAAAGGAGAGGGAGGAAACCTAAAGCTGTGCTGAATGGCATTTTAGCCAGCAGTGCTGCCAGCCTGACAGTTCTGGAGAAGTCTGCCCAGCAAGCTCCTGGTACATCCCTAGGACAAGTCCTTCCCCACCTGCTGCCCTCGGCAGCGAGCCCCTCGGAGATCCTGCCGTCGCCGGTGTGCTCGCAGTCCTCGGCCGTGAGCGGGGGGCAGAGCCCCGTGAGCAGCGACGCGGGCTTCATCGAGCCCAGCTCGGTGCCCTACCTGCACCTGCACTCCAGGCAGGGCAGCGTGGTGCAGACCCTGGCCATGAAGAAAGCAGCCAAGGGGAGGAGGAGGTTGTCCCCACCCACGCTGCTGCCCAACTCCCCGTCGCACCTGAGCGAGCTGACGTCGCTCAAAGAGGCCACGCCGTCGCCCGTGAGCGAGTCCCACAGCGATGAGACCATCCCCAGTGACAGTGGGATAGGCACAGACAACAACAGCACCTCGGACCGAGCCGAGAAGTTCTGTGGGCAGAAGAAAAAGAGGCACTCGTTTGACCACGTGTCCCTCATCCCGCCCGAGACTTCCACCGTGCTCGGCAACCTGAAGGAGAAGCACAAACACAAGTGCAAGCGCCGCAGCCACGATTACCTCAGCTACGACAAGATGAAGAGGCAGAAGAGAAAAAGGAAAAAGAAGTATCCTCAGCTCCGAGGGAGGCAGGACCCTGATTTCCTCGCCGAGCTAGAGGAGTTAATAAGTCGGTTAAGTGAAATTAGAATAACCCACAGAAGTCACCATTTTATACCCCGAGATTTGCTGCCTACCATTTTTAGGATAAATTTCAATAGTTTCTACACCCACCCTACTTTTCCTTTAGATCCTTTGCACTACATTAGAAAACCTGATTTAAAGAAAAAGAGAGGCAGGCCTCCAAAAATGCGGGAAGCTATGGCAGAAATGCCTTTCATGCATAGCCTGAGCTTCCCCCTGTCCAGCACCGGGTTCTACCCCTCCTATGGCATGCCTTACTCCCCTTCTCCCCTGGCAGCTGCTCCCATAGGATTAGGTTATTATGGAAGGTACCCTCCAACTCTTTACCCTCCTCCACCCTCTCCTTCTTTCACTACCCCCCTACCCCCACCTTCCTACATGCATACAGGCCACCTGCTTCTCAACCCCACCAAATACCACAAGAAGAAGCATAAACTCTTGCGCCAGGAAGCTTTCCTCACCACCAGCAGGACTCCTCTGCTGTCCATGAGCACGTACCCCAGCGTCCCCCCCGAGATGGCCTACGGCTGGATGCTGGAACACAAGCACAGGCACCGCCACAAGCACCGGGAGCACCGCTCGTCCGAGCAGCCCCAGGTTTCCATGGACACCATCGCGGCCAACAGCTCCTCCAGAACGGTTCTGGAGTCCTTGAAGCGCTACAGGTTTGGGAAGGAGGCCGTTGGGGATAGGTACAAACACAAAGAGAAACACAGATGCCACATGGCTTGTCCTCACCTGTCACCTTCCAAGGGTTTGCTGAGCAGAGACGAGCAGTGGGTCAGGAGAGAGCCTTCGGAGTCCAATTCCTTGGCGCTGGGCTTGCAGACACCTCTGCAGATAGACTGCTCTGAAAACTCCCCGGCTCTGTCCCTGGGGGGGTTCACTCCCAGCTCAGAGCCAGCCAGCAGCGACGAACACACAAACCTTTTCACAAGTGCAATAGGCAGCTGCAGAGTCAGCAACTCTGCCAGCACCAACGGACGGAAAAAGTTACCCGAGAGCCCTGGGCTGTTCGGCGGGCAGGACACGGCGCTGGGCCGGCCCCTCCGCAAGGAGCCCCTGCCTTCTTCCCTGGAGAAGGCCCTGCAGCCACTGTCAGGTAAGGGAGCTCGGCCTTTCCATGGGTTTTGATGGGTTCTGTTGTACCAAGCACAGCTGGAGCAGGGGGCAGGTGAGGTTTTGGCTCTGCAGGGGTGTCCAGCCCTGCCCCTGTCCTCACGCTCTGTTGCTGCAGTGCCAGCACAGCCCTGGGGATCTCCCCCAGAGCCACCCATGGCACTCTGTCCTTCCTCCCCACAGACTCCTCTTGCTTTCTCATGCAAAGGTCTTTGCTTTTTCCATGCAATTTTACTTTTCCGGAGAAATGAGAGAAAGTTTCTCACCATTTTTGGTATTTTCAAAGCCGTGTTTCTGTTGGAAGTTTGGTTGCTTAGGTTCAGACCACCTGTTGCTGCTGCTGTTGTGAGTAATGTTTCCATTTAAGAAAGTGTTTCCTATTCCTTTTGTAACTCTGTTTTGGTAATTTGACGATCTCTGCTACAACAGAGCTTTCAATCCCTGCCTCGAGGCCTCTTGCAACACCTCAGAACTGCTGGGGTTGATGCTGGGGATGCCTGAGACCAAACCTAGAAATTTTGGATTTATTCATAGTTGGGAAATTCATCTTTCAGCCTCAAGCAATACTGGAACAGGAGGAGCAGGAACAGGAGCTTGTTATTTGCATAATATTAAGGAAAAGAAAAGATAACCTGCAAAGGGCAAGTGCAGCTTGTGCTCCTGCCTGCTTCCAGTGTGTGAGGGAAGCCTGAGCTGCTTCTCCCTTCCCTTCTTGCCTACATTCTCCCTTGAAGTCTAAATCACTGTCCAAAGCCACTTGTGACTAATATTTCACAGAGCAAGAACCAGCTGCCAGGACTGAAAAATCCCTCCTCACATTCCTGGCTCTCGTCTTGCTCCTTCCCATGGGATGCTCCTGCTGTGGTGCCTCCTGCCACCTCCTCTGCTCAGCACACCTGTGTGTGCACAGGGATTTTCTCTTGGTTTGGGGGGGTTTATATTTTCCTTCTTTATTTTAAGCCCAGCTGGATCTTTGACAAATTCATATTTCTTTGTGCTGGTACTGAAATGACTTGAGGTGGTGAGTGGAGTAGGCAGCAGAACCATGAGATTGCTTCTCCTGCAGTGATGGAAAGAGAAGTTCCAAGTGCTGGGTCACTTAAATTTGGCTCTGAGGAGGGAATTGGTTGTGGGAACCTGAGCAGCTCTGGGAACTGGGAGATGATTGGAGTGAATGATCTGGCCTGGGTTTGTGTGAGGAGTAACCCAAGGAGGGGGAGAGCAGAGATGCTTTTTGTGGAGGCTCTGCCTGCTCCCTGCCCCAGGAAGTTGGAGTGGTTCCTCAGGCTGGGCTGTCACTTCCAGGCAGTGCATTCCCACCTGGAACATGGATATTTTGTGAGGCTGGCATTTGGATTGGGATCCAGCTCATTCCCAAGGAACCCCACAACACTCAAGACTTAAACCACGTCTGGTAAAAAGCCCCAGGAAAGAGAAACGCCAGATTTGGGGTTTTAGATCCGTGTCAGTTTGCATGTTGTGTTTGGGGTGTTTTGGTTTTAGCCACGGTGCCAAATGGTGATTCTGAATCCATGACCATGGATTAAAGATTAAAGGAAAGGCACAGATGGAGAGAAAACCTTTGGTGCATCAAAGATTATTTATTTATAAAAGCAGATGCAGTTTGGGTGCGTGCTGGTGCTGGATCAGAGACTTGGAATAAGCAGTCAGGGATCAGCATCAGGGAACCCATCCAGAATGGGTCTTTGGGATCCATAGGGAATGTTTGTGGTGCTCTATTTCAGAGTATTCCATGTGGAAAATCTACCTCACCTCCACATTTTGAACATAAACCTGGCCTAACTGGTTGAACAAATTCTTTTTATGATATTGGCAGATATTGGCAGGGGTTTACCCACGTCTGAATTGTGTTAGAGGAGGGTTATGCTGGCTGTGCAGACAGGACTCCCGAGGAGGTCAGAGCTTCCCAGGAGCTGAAGCACAGGTGGAAGCTCCCACTCTGGGGCTGTGGTGTGACCTTGGCACAGCCACAGCAGGGCAGGACAGACTCCGGGGGAGTTCTGTCCACTCCAGGCTCTGGTGTTCTGTCCAGGGCAGTTCTGTCCACACCAGGCTCTGGTGTTCTGTCCAGGGCAGTTCTGTCCACTCCAGGCTCTGGTGTTCTGTCCAGGGCAGTTCTGTCCATGGGTGTTTTGTCCAGGTGTGTTCTGTCCAGGGTTGTGTGTTCTGTCCAGGGCAGTTCTGTCCACTCCAGGCTCTGGTGTTCTGTCCAGGGCAGTTCTGTCCACTCCAGGCTCTGGTGTTCTGTCCAGGACAGTTCTGTCCATGGGTGTTTTGTCCAGGTGTGTTCTGTCCAGGGTTGTTTTGTCCACTCCAGGCTCTGGTGTTCTGTCCAGGGCAGTTCTGTCCAGGGGAGTTCTGTCCACTCCAGGCTCTGATGTTCTGTCCAGGGAAGTTTTGTCCATAGGTGTTTTGTCCACACCAGGCTCTGGTGTTTTGTCCAGGGGTGTTCTGTCCAGGGGAGTTTTGTCCAGGGGTGTTTTGTCCACTCCAGGCTCTGCTGTTTTCCCCAGGGGAGTTTTGTAGGACTCTGCTCTCTGTTCATCCCAAGTTGTTCCTGAGCTCCTGCAGCTTTCCACCAGAGTTCTTTTGAATAATTGATGCCATATCTTAGCCAGCCTTGGTGTGCTGCTCACAGTTCCTGTGGCCTCGGTGTGTTGGCTTGCAGTGCTGGCAGTCCGGAGGCAGGGAGGGAACGGGATCGGCCGTGTGCTGGGGGTGGCATCCTTGTCCCCGGGATGTGCCACCCCCTGCCAGCAGTGCCATCCCTGCCGCCTTCAAAACCCTCTCCTTGTATTTTTCCCTGTTATGAATTGCAGTCCCTTCCCCACTTAACTCCCTCTGTTTAATTTCTATTTTCAATCCCAGCTCCCAGCGTACTTGGTTAATGTAGACTTTTTTAAATTCAATGCATTTTGGAGTTCCTCAGGAGGAAAAGTCACCCTGGAAGGACAGACCTGCTACGGCAGCTCCCTGAACCCAGAGGGGTGGGTGGGCAGAGGCTCAGAATAAAGTGAAACTCTTGGGTTAAGATAAGAATCTTTAATAATTAAAATAAAATTATATATTATAATAATAATATTAATGACAGTAGTAATAATTGTCATGAAAAGGACAGAGCAGGGGACCCTGGAGAGTGCTGGGCACCATCCAACATCATCCTTCCCCTGAACCAGGCACTGGTGGTGCCTTGTGGAGGCTGACCTAGAGCAGGGACTAGACAGAGTTAAAGAATAAAGTAAGGATTTATTAGGAGGTCTCAATAAATCCACCTGGGGCAGCACAACCCAAAATGGTCACAAAAATGGACAACTGGTCACACTTTTAGAAGTTTTGGTTCATTAGCATATTGGAGTTAATTGTTTAATTCCAGCTTTAGCCCATGCAGTCCCATTTTTGTTGTTTTCTCTCTCCAGCCCACGCTGTCTGTGCTCTTGGGCTGAGATTTGGATCATTTGTTCCTGGTCCCCAGCTGGAGCAGGAATTGTTTTGTGTCCTGCTCTGTGCAGAGCTCACCATGCCCTGACATGAAACCCAGACCCACCCACTAAAGCAGCACAGAGCCTGAAAAATACAAAAACCAAACCCTGAGGCACCACTGGGACAAATTCACTCTGTCCCAGCTGGAACCCAGGACAGGTGCTGAGCACCTGTGCAGTGCCTCACCCAGCTCAGCCCAGCTCAGCTCTAGAGGTTGGAATCCTTGCAAAAGTGCTGTTGTTCCTTCCCTCCAGCAGTCATCAGGAGCTAAGAGTGCCCATGATTTAAAAAAACCCCAAACTTTTGGCAGGAGAGGATCTGAAAGGAGATTTCCCCAGAGATTCTGGTGCATCAGTTTGGTGCTTTCAAGGATTCTCCCATCATCCCACACCTTGGGGTTTCCTTGAGGCATTGAGGCCATGGGCAGGGCAGGAATTTTGTCAGAACTTCAGTGCCCTGCTGTTACCTTTTGGAGGGTTCTTTGAGGAAGGGAGGGATATAAACAAATACACCAAAATATGGTATAATAATGAATATATAATATTCATTACTGTACCGTATTTTAAAGAGAAATGGCAAAAATCTGGTTTTTTTCATCCTGGATTTTGTCTTTTAGATATTTTCAGGATATGCACATCCTCCTCTTGCACTACCACGTGCATTTTTTGCTTATCTGGGGTTTTATACTGATCAGAGTTTTTAATATCTCAGCATTTTCCTAACTGCAATACCAGGTTTTTCTATGACATTTTCATGACTCCCACAGCCTTTGCTTTCAAGAGTAATTGGGATCCTCTAAAAGTTGAAATTTTAGGAAAATAAAGCAGTTCACCGTAAGAAAATATTTACGTGTAAAAAGGGAAACAAATAGCTGTGTTCTCAGCAGAGCTGCCCTTGCCAGCCCTGTCCCTTCACCCTGCAGCACTTGTGGAATTCCTGGATCTTTCTAAAATTGGTTTTAACTCAAGGAATGGTAATTGTGCTTCCTGCTGCCTGCTGACATCATGCAAGGATTTTGCAAGTCCCAGCAAGCCCTGTGTGCTCAGAACAGAGGGAAATGTGTTCTGCAGGTGCCTCAAATCCTGTGCTGCTCTGGCTGTAGATAATCATCATCCTCACTTGTTTAGGCCCCAGGGCTTTGACAGATTTGCCATGATGGACTGGAGCAGGAATATTTGTGGGTTTTTTTTTATTGTGACAGGATCTTGTAAAGGAAAAACAACACAGCAAAGGAGAAATGTAAAGAATTTTAAAATCTTGGGAATTTTCTTTTTGGCTTTTCACCTTTCTGCAGTTCCTGGTGAGCAGTTCTGCCCAAGGAGAGGAAGGGAATGCTTTTCCTGGATGAAAAAGCACCTTCCATCACAGAGGGATGGGGTCAGCAGCACAAAGCCACTCAGTGCTTCACCTCCTTCCCAGTGCCCTGCCTGGGCTGACAGGGACACTGGGGACAGTGCCAGCTCACACAGGGACCAGGAGGGGCTGGGGAGGCTCTCTGAGGAGCAGCACAGGGGCTGGGGAATGGAGATCATCACCAGGGGGTGAGGGGGATGTGATTCCTTTCTTCTCCACCTTGGAGAGGGCACAGCTGGAGTGCTGTGTCTGCTCTGGGCTGCCCAGGCCAGGAGAGACATGGGCATGCTGCAGTGAGGAATGACCAGGGGGTGGGAGCCTCTGTCATCCAGAGGGGCTGGAGAGCTGGATCAATAATCCAGAGGGGCTGGGAGAGCTGGATCAGCCATCCAGAGGGGCTGGAAGAGCTGGATCTGTCATCCAGAGGGGCTGGAGAGCTGGATCAATAATCCAGAGGGGCTGGGAGAGCTGGATCAGCCATCCAGAGGGGCTGGAGAGCTGGATCTGTCATCCAGAGAGGCTGGAAGAACTGGATCAGAAATCCAGAGGGGTTGAGAGAGCTGCATCTGTCATCCAGAGAGTTTGGGAGAGCTGGATCAGCCATCCAGAGGGGCTGGGAGAGCTGGATCAGAAATCCAGAGGGGCTGGGAGAACTGGGATTGCTCATCCAGAGAGCTTGGAGAACTTGGATTGCTCCTCCAGAGGGTCTGGAAGAGCTGGATCAGTCATCCAGAGAGTTTGGGAGAGCTGGATCAATAATCCAGAGGGGCTGGGAGAACTGGGATTGTCGAGCCTGGAGCAGAGGATGCACAAAGGGAGCTTTCCCAGTGTGTCCATGTTCCAGCTGGGAGGGAATGAAGGAAAAGGAGTGAAACTGGTCCTGGTGGTGCCCAGGAGCAGGAGAGCCACTGGAGTTGAGGGAATTCTGTTTGTGCAGAAGAAAACAGTGGTCACAGTGAGGGTGAGGAAATTGCAGAGCAGAGAATCTGTGTCACTGGAGATGTGAAAAACCCAGCAGAATGTGGTGGCCCTGAGCAGGCTGACCCTGTTTTGGGCAGGGTGGTTGGTCTTGGTAATCTGCAGAGGTCTTTTCCAAACCCTTCTGACAATCAAGGAGTTTGGATTCACTTGAGAGTAGGAATATGTGGGGGATTCCCTTCCCTTCCCTTCCCTTCCCTTCCCTTCCCTTCCCTTCCCTTCCCTTCCCTTTCCCTTCCCTTCCCTTCCCTTTTTTTCTTCCCTTTTTTTTCCTTTCTTTTTTCTTTCCTTTTCTCACATCCAAGCTCATTCTGGTGGTTAATATTTACATGTCTTTACTCATGGCTTGTTTACCTCTGCCTCTATCCTGTGTGCAATCCCTGCTTTCTGTTTCTTTCCATCCTTCCCCTTCATTCTGGGAGCACACAGGTGTTCAGAGTAACCTGAATTTAAACCTTTAGACTGAAATGATGGTTTTTTTCTGCCTTGCAGGCACTTTGCCAAGCCAGGAGAAGCCCTCCCAGAGGCAGTCAGAGAGCACAAACTGCAGCCCTTCCAGGAAGAGATCCACATCAGAGAGCACTTCTTCTCCAGGCAAGTCCTGCTCAGGGGGCTGGGTTTGGGGATCCCTGAGTGCTCAGAGCTGTGCTGAGACACAGCACGGCTGTGAGAGCTTCAGCTCTTGGTGATCCTGACTTTTCCCACTGATATTTTGGGACAGCATGGCTGTGAGAGCTTCAGCTCATGGTGATACTGAGTTTTTCCACTCAGTTTTTCAGTGACATTTTGGGGTACAAGGGCTGTGGGTTGGGTTGTAGAACAGGGAGCTTTGAGGTGCTCAGAGAAGCAGCAGCACAGCTGTGGCAGGGTTGGGTTTGGTGTCTCACCAGGTTAAGTTAGGCCTGGTGGAGCTCAGGGCTTTAATCCAGATGTGTGACATTACAGTTCATCAGTGGATTAGAGGAATAAATGAATTCCTCCCTGGGCAAGAGCCTGACTCTGGCCCTGCTCTGGAGGCAGAGGGTTCTTGGCCCTGGGCAGGTCACAGGGGGGTCAGGCCAGGCTGTGCTGTGGGATTTTCTTGCTGATGTGTGAGAATCCTGCCAAGGTGGTGGAGGGTGGCACATGGCTCACCCAACCATCAGGGAATGCCCCAAGCCAGGTCAGAAATGGTCCCTTCCAACCCAAAGGTGTTGTGATTCTGTAAAAATGGAATGTGAGAATCCTGCCAAGGTGGTGGAGGGTGGCACATGGCTCACCCAACCATCAGGGAATGCCCCAAGCCAGGTCAGAAATGGTCCCTTCCAACCCAAAGGTGTTGTGATTCTGTAAAAATGGAATGTGAGCTTCCCTGGGAGCTCACATGTCAGAATCCTGGGTGGAACAAGATGGTCTTTAAGGTTCCTTTCAGCCCAAACCATTCTGTCATTCTGTAAAAATGGAATGGGAGCTCCCGTGGGACTGGACAGAAGAAAATCCAGCAGGTTGACCCATTTTGTAAGAAGCTCAGTTGCAGAAACACTCTCATTACCAGAATTCAGACATTTCTCAGACTCCCAAACTGACTGCAAATATGTAATAAATCCCTGGGATTGGTACTTGAAGCTAGCTATGGTTTCCATGTAGGAAGGATGTGCCAAAAGTGCCATTTCCTCCCTGCTTTAAACAGATGTTTACAACAGATGCTCCATCCAGCCTGTGCTGCAGAAAGTCCTTTGCAGTGGGAAAGGAATCTTCCTTTTTCCTCTGTCTCAATCCCTTTCTTGCCCTCTCTGCCTTGAAAAGGGGCAGCTGCAGTTGTTGGAAGTGGGAATAGGAAGTGTTAAAGTGAGCAGGAGCATTGGAATGACATGAATCACAAATTTATCAACTTCAAAGCCAGCGAGGTGATGGTGCAGCTGAGCAGATCAGTGCTTGCTGTGTTTCCCTGCCTGTGGAATGTGTGTGGGTTCCAGGGTTTGTCAGAGAGGAGCTGCAGCTGTCCCAGAGCAGAGCCTGCAGTGCCCCAGCCCTTTGGAGCAGCTCCCGTGGGATGTGGTGCTGCTTGAGGCTCCCTGAGCAGGTGAGGAGCCCCAGCTCCATCCCCACGTGCCTCTAAGGGCCGGGAGAAAACAAAGGGGAATTGATCTTTATTATTTCATCTGAAATGCAGGGCTGGAAGTGTAAATCCTTCCAGCTATCTTGCAGTTGTTGGGGTGTCCAGCTCACAGCAGGAGGCTGCTCTTGTGCTGTGTCACCAGCAAGAGCATTGTCCAGAGGAGGATTTTTAAAACATGTTTCCTGACTCTTTCTCCTCCAAATAGTACTCTGAAAGGTGCAGCTTCAGGTAATAAAGTCATTTACCCCCAGTTTGCTTCCCCCAGCTCACTTTTATTTACATTTCTTGAGGCAGACGTGTCCTTGATTCCCAGGTCTGGAGAGGAATTGTGTCTGCCCAGAATGGGAAAGCTGTAGCTAGCAGTGTGTATGGAGTTTAGAGTTATACACTGAGAATTCTATTATTATTATTATAATATATCACTATTATTATATATCATTATTATATATGATTACATTATATCATATATAGTGATATACTATATACTATGCACTATACAATATATGATATATGATATATAATATACAGTATACAATATATTATTTATTATATATTATGTTATATATTGTATATTATATGTGATGTATAATATATAATATACTATATATTGTATATTATATATTGTGTATAATATATTATTATATTAGATAGATATAGATATTATATATAGATATTCTATATCTGTTCTATCTATATTCTATATTATAATATATTCTATATTATAATATATTCTATTCTATATTATAATATATTCTATTATATATTATATACTTTGGTAGTTTGTTCCAGAATTCCATTGAATTTTTTACTATATATCCTAAAACCTGATATATTTCTATTATATATAAGATATATGTTATATATAGATTATATATTATAGATACATATATATTTAGATTATATATAATATATTTTATCTGTTATTATATATTATAGATATATATTCTTACAGATGCATATTCTTATAGATACATCATCACTACAGATTCTATCAGTGATGCCTATCCTGTATGATACGATCATATCACCATTACTGTATTACTAGCCTTCCCCCCCGAAGGCTTGCAGGGTCCCAGGCACGCGCGGAGCCCGCGGCCCAGCCCGCAGGGCACCGACCGCAGCGCTCTGTGTGTTTCAGGGGCGGCAGTGCCCGCGCGCGGCGCCCGCCTGGCCCCGGCGGCCGAGGACGCGGTGGACGCGCTGCTGCAGCGCATGGCCCAGCAGGACGGGCCTCCCCCGCTGGACAAGAGCCTGGACGGCGCCACGGGCGGCCCGCCGTCGTCCAGCCCTGCGCGCAGCCGCTCGCGGGAGCGGGCGCTGGGCAAGCAGGACCCGCAGGACGCCAGCGGCGAGGGCGTCCCCCTGCTGCAGGAGCGCCTGCCCGGCAGCTACTCGCCCGGGCACCTCAAGAGGAGCGTGGTGGAGGCCATGCAGAGGCAAGCGAGGAAAATGTGCAATTACAACAAAATCCTGGCGACAAAAAAAAATCTGGACCACGTCAACAAAATCCTGAAAGCCAAAAAGCTGCAGAGGCAGTCGAGGACGGGGAACAACTTCGTGAAGCGGCGGCCGGGGCGGCCGCGCAAGTACCCGCTGCAGGCCGTGGTGTCCATGCAGGCCCTGCAGGCCGCCAGGATGGTGAGCCAGGAGCTGCAGGACAGGCAGCAGAGCAGCAGCCCCCTGCAGCTGGGGCCGGACACCATCACCGACGTGATCGAAGCCGTGGTGCAGAGCGTCAGCCTCGACCCCGAGCACCGCAAAGGCTGGAAGAGGAAGAGGTGGCTGCCCGAGGAGCAGGCCAGGAAGAGGCACAAGTCTTTGCCTGAGGATGAGCAGGAGAGCAGTAAGAGGTGATTTTCTTGCAGTTTTGTACCTCAGTTGGTTTTAGAATGTTTTAGTCATTGAGGGGAACTTCTGCTTGATTTTGGGAAGGAGGTCAGTGTAGAGGGAACCAGCTGTGGTCTACTCGGGGTTACTCTTTGTGGTAGCAGGCCCCAGCCAGGTAATAATTACCATTGACTCTTGTTTTATTCTTCTGTACTCTGGTTGTGTTCGAGGGTGTCAGGACGAGGGAAGAGATGAGAGTCTTAACTCCATGTTTCAGAAGGCTGATTTATTATATTATGATACTATATTAAAATGCTATATTAAAACTATACTAAAAATAATAGGGAGAAAAGGATCCATCAGAAGGCTGGAAAGAAAAGGAATGATAACAAAATCTTGTGGCTGCTCACTGCCTCGACACAGGTGGCTGTGACTGGTCATCAAGTGAAAACAATCCACATGGAGCAATGGAAGATGCACCTGTTGCATTCCACAGCAGCAGATAATTATTGTTTGCATTTCTCTCCTGAGGCTCCTCGGCTTCTCAGGAGAAAATCCTGGCAAAAGGATTTTTCAGAAAATGTTATGGTGACACTACCCTATATAGTACTGTATTTTTAAGAAACTTATGACTTCTTCTAGACAGTCTGATACAGCTTTGACCCAATTTGTTAACTAACCAAACACTACTAGTAGTGGCTAATGAAGAAACTGCTCCTTGGTGAACAAATCTCCATAACACATCCCACACGTGTCTAGCAACAGGTCCACTGCTACTAGTGTCTAATGAAGAAACTGCTCTTTGGTGAACAAATCTCCTTAACTCATCCCACACGTGTCTAGCAACAGGTGTAGTGAGTGATGATGAGAATTCTTTTAATTCTTGCTCTGAGCAGGCCCCCAGCCAGGTAATAATTAGCACTGAGTATTGTTTTATTCTTCTGTGCTATATTATACCATATTTTTAAGAAATTTATGACTTCTTCTAGACAGTTTGATACAGCTTTGACCCAATTTGTTAACTAACCAAACACTACTAGTAGTGGCTAATGAAGAAACTGCTCCTTGGTGAACAAATCTCCATAACACATCCCACACGTGTCTAGCAACAGGTGTAGTGAGTGATGATGAGAATTCTTTTAATTCTTTCTCTGAGCTTTCTCACAGCTTCCCCAGGAAAATGCCTGGGAGAGTCTGTGCCTGCTCCCTGTCACCAGAGAGCTGCTGCCACACCAACATGTGAGCCCTGAGTGTGTTCAGTCCTTCCCCAGGTACTGAAAACAGCCCAGAAAATGAGAAGTGAGAATCTCAGGTGATCTGAAAGGGTTGGTTCTGTACTTGTGCTGGTGAAGGATGTGTTTAAGGAGTTGGTAACTGGTGAGGTGCCACAGGTTGTTCCTTCATCCTGTGTGGAATAAGGAGCCCTGGGGAGCTGTGTGTGCCGTGGGATCTGCTCACAAATGCAGGCAGCACAGGATGGCAGGTGATGTACAGCAGGTAAAGAATAAAGCTACAGCAGCAAGGAGGAGTCAAGGGCTGCACCTGTGCAGTCACTGCTAAAGGCACACACCAAAAATCTCTCTCTGATCTCATCATCTCACACTCATCCCCAAAGCCATCAATAAACAAACTCTGTCAGGAGTTTCCTCCCCAGAAATGGGTGCTGTGTGCTGTCTGTGGCTCTCCTGGAGGCTCAGGAAAGGGTTACCACGTGCTGGTTTTGGAGTGCAAAAGCAGAGAGCAAGAGCTGCCTTCTGAATTACTCAGCTGAGGCTCCAAGGATAAACATTAGCAGTACAAACAACATTCTTTTTGTAATAATAATATCACAAAAAGAATCATACTTTTCTTATGATTGTGCTTAACCCCCACTTGATCATGTATTGTGTTTGTGGCAGGGAGGAATGATGAATCTGACTCCATGTTTTCAGAAGGCTAATTTATTATTTTATGATCCTATATTATATTAAAGAATACTAAACTAAACTAAAGAATACAGAAAGGATATTTGCAGAAGGTTAAAAAGATAATAATGAAACTTGTGACTCTCTCTCCAGAGTCTGACACAGCTTGACCCTGACTGGCTTATAAGTCAAAACAATTCACATGAAACCAATGAAACAATCACCTGTTGGATAAATAATTTTCAACCACATTCCAAAGCAGCAACACACAGGAGAAACAAATAAGAAAATATTGTTTTCTTTTTTCTCTGAGGCTTCTCAGGAGAAAAATCTTGGGTAAAGGGATTTTTTTCAGAACAGATGAATGTGACAATCATGCTCATTAAGTATTTTTTAAGTAGTTGAGTCACCCAGAAATTCAGAAAAATTGACTTTTTTAGCTGACCAGATTCAAGAGAGGAATAATGAAATACTGTGAGATGATCTTAATGGGAAGGTGATTTTTTAATCTGTACTTTTTCTTCCAGTTTCTCAGAGACAGTAGCTGAACCTCCCAGTCCACATGAGGCCCTTGGGAAACCACCTGAACCTGAAACCCCTGAGCAGCCTCTGCCTCCTCTAACCCAGCGTGAGAAGAAAGCCCCTCGACCCCCAAAGAAGAAATACCAGAAAGCTGGGCTCTACTCTGATGTCTACAAAACAACAGAGTGAGTGAAACAGAGCAAAACTGCTCTCTGAAAATCCAGGGAAAACTCTCTTTTCACCTAGAGCCATAAAGAGCTGCCACTCATGAGGAGGTGAAATAGAACCATCAACTTAATTGAAGCCTGTGGAGGATTATGTGATGGTAATTGTCAGAACTGACCCAGTGGGGATGTAAAATGTAAGCCCAGTCAGAAAGCAGCCTCAAGCAGTCTGCAGGTGTTTCTGGTTATCAGTTTTGAAGAAGGTAAGAGATTTATTCAAGATCTACACGGTCCTGGCAGTGCAGGTGCTGGGAGAGCTGGATGTGTGCAGGTTCTGAGCAGGGTTTGAGCACAGTGTGGCAGAGAAGGGGTCATGGGGTCCCTGTTTTCACTGGCTGAGTGGTGACAACTGACCATCTTCTGTGTGAAAGAATTTCAGCAATGCACCCAGCTCATTTCACAGCTCAGTGGAGTTCATCTCTATTTTCTCTGAGATGTTTAGGGTAGAAAATCCAGCATTTCTTTATTTTTCCCACTGGTTGCTTTGCAGCCTGGTGTCCATTAGAATGTGGACACCTCCCTTGTAGTCACACATGTTTTCTAATCTGAACAAATCAGCTGAAGTCAGGAATTTGTGCTTCTGTTCCAATATCATCTGACAGATTGAAAAGAGACAAAATTTGGCACCTTCTCACTATGTCACTTCAAAATGTTCCAGAGACCACTGGGAAATGCCAGTGCAGTTTATCAGCTGCTCCTGCTGCAGTCTCTGTCTGTGGTGAAGGAATCAGTGAAAGGGTCAAGACTGAGGAAGAAACAAAGATCTCAGTCTGAGCAAAGTGAGGCCACTTGAGTTTTATCTGTTTTAAAGAGATGTGTTAAACTTTGCCACTTGGATGGTCTGTCACTGCTGTACACAGTTCAAATCTCACAGTTTCATCTCTTGCCACAGAGGAGGAGCTGAGAGAGTCTTCTCCTTTTCTTCAGTGTAAATATTTGGAACTTTGAGTGTTCCTAAGTTGGAAGGGACCCACAGAGATCATGGAGTCCAGCTCCTGGCTGTGCACAGCCCCAAGAACCCCACCCTGATGCCTGAGCTGTGTCCAAACCCTCCTGGAGCTCTGGCTGTGCCCATTCCCTGGGGAGCCTGGGCAGTGCCATCACCTTCTGGGGGAAAAACCTTCTCCTAAATCCATCCTGAACCTCCCATAGCCATTCCCTGGGGTGCTGTTCCTGCTCACACAGAGCAGAGGTTGGAGCTGCTCCTGCCCTGCTCTTCAGGGGGAAGTCACAAATCACACAGGGCTGCCTTGGCTTCCCTCTGCCTGTTGCTCCACGTGCTGAGTTCTTCCCTGCTCTGATACTGGCTTTGGGATGAGCTGCTCTGGGCACCCTGTGCCAGGGCCTCCCCACCCTCACAGGGAAGAATTTCTTCCTAAGTATTTCCAGTTGTTGATATCTGTATCACAAAATTTGTTTTCAGCTTACATTTTCCCTTAACTAAACAATAATATCACTTTTTGTATTCAGCCATCTTTCTGTTGCTTGTCCAGTTCTTAAAATAAATCCCTTAAAAAACTTCAGTAGGCTTCAATATCATTGAATCTTTGGTATATTTAACATTTAGAAGTCTCCTTGCAGGACTGCAGTTCTAAATATAACCAGATCAGATTCTATTTCCCAAGGTTTGTTGTTGGCCAGGAGGAGATGTTTATAAACACCAGATTACAGAGCTGGCACCTGCCTGACCCATACAACCATTCTAATTCCATTCTCCTATTTTTCTTTCTTCAAAGGGGTGTCTCATTGCTTTTTTAACTCTGATTTCTGTTCTTTTTTCTGCCTTTCCTGATGAACAACCTCCTAAAGGGTGCTCTTAGGAGAGCAGGGCTGTACATGTGTCACGTGCCCAGTTCCTCAGCAGAACCCCCAGATACAATCTGCTGGTCCTCTTTTATTTGTGGAGCTTTAGTTATTACTTTTATATCACATGCAGGGCATTTAAAGTCAGTGGGTGTTTATGGAGAAAAAACATTTATGGAGAAAAAACCCCTTGTGGGAGGGCTGGTGTTAGACAGGCAGCCTGGAGAGCACTTCTTTGGCCATTTTTATTATTCCTCTTTTCCTTGATGCTCCAGACATTTGTGCCTTAACTAAAGCAGAAAATGCATTTTTGCAAGTGCCACATGATCCCCGTTGTGACATTTTGGTTCTGTCCCTGTCCTCCACAGCCCCAAGAGCCGCCTGATCCAGCTGAAGAAGGAGAAGCTGGAATACACCCCAGGGGAGCACGAGCACGGGCTCTTCCCAGCCCCTATCCACGTTGGTGGGTACCTCATCTGTATTTTCATTGTTGGGGGACAAATGTGGCACTGGGGGGGCTGCTCAGCTTCTGCTTTTCTCTGGTTTTTAGCCCTTGCCAGGTCACTCGTGGTTTTTGGCGCATGAACTTTGCCAGCTCATCCCCCTGTGTTTGTTCCCCAGTTTATCTTGAGAGGCTTTTTTTAGCTTAAAACATTGCTCTTGATTTTTTTGGGTGTCAGAAAATACCATTCTAGTTGAAAATTTGCTTTAATTGTGATAGTCCTTGGATGAAATGCAGAGCAAGTCTCCACCTCAAAGTAAAATTACAGCAGAATAGCCACAGACAATTATGACCATTTAAATCCCAAAAGCTGAGCATGGAGTGATAAATTCCCCCAGGTCCCCATGCGCTTCATGGTGTCTGTCTTTACACAGGGATGAAAGGGTGGAAGAATTAAAAGCTTTGCTGTTATCTTTGGTTTTACTTCATCCCCATTTTTAGGTCTCGGGTAGGAAAAAAATGGGATTTAGGATTTCACAGACTCATGGAATGGTTTGGGTGGGAAAGGACCTTACAGATTATCTTATTCCACCCTGTTCCATGGAATTCCATAGCCCAGGTTGCTCCAAACCCTGTCCCTGGCCTTGAACACTTCATAAGCCAGGTCTGTCCCAGGTTCTCAGAGGGGATGGAGCTCAGGATGCTGCTCCTGGGCCAGGGGGGATGGTCCAGAGCTCCACTGTTGGCAGCTCTTGCCATTTCCTAGGTTAAACCTCATAGGATTGAGTAATTTCCTGATTCTCAGGTAATTGTTTCAGCTTCTGAAGTGCTGTGATTCTTGCTGCAAGTCCTGTCAGGCCCAGCAGGTTTGTGGAATTCAGGAATCTTTGTCCCATCAAACACAAGCTGTCACTGCTTTGTCTCCTGTGACTGAACTCTTTGGCTCCACCTGCGCAGCAAGGCAGAGCAGTTGGACAGATCTGTGAGAATCAGGAGCCACAAAACAGGTTTCAGGGCTGAAGGTGACAATTTAAATTCTTCAAGACATTCCCTTGCTCATCTCCTTTTTGAATGGGCTCATAAAACCAGGTTCTCCAGGTTCACAACCACATTGTTGGTCCTGCCCTGCAGCTGCTGGGGTGCCTGGGGATGGTTTAACCCCAGAGCAGGGACCAGGGCTGGGCTTCTGCCAGGGGACTGCACTGGTGCCACTCAGGGAGGGCTGGGGGCACCTTCCCTGTGCTGGGGGCACGGAGCCAGGGCACCTGAAAGAGCCTTTTGTTCGGCCTGCTGAGGTCATAGAAGTGAAAGCAAATTCCCAGCAGATTTAGCTCTTTCCTGGAACCTGCTAGGGTTGAATAAGGCATTGAAAATGGAAAGTAATTTAGGGGTAAATTGTAAGGAAAACATTACCATTTTTATTTTCCAGTGGTGAGGGTATGCATGTGAATTTATATGAACCCGCAGAGCATTGCTGGAGGGATATAAAGGCATTTGTTAACAGTTAGAAAAGCTGGGGGGAAAATATCAGCTTGGGCCTGACACCTCATCCTAGGCACTGTGCTCCCTGCAGTTTTGTGACACAGGATTCCAGCAAAATGATCAGAGAATGTTGAATGTTGGCTGGAACCAAGCAGTGTCAGCCCTTGGGACTGGTGTGAATGATGTAATGGGTCTGTGTCCTTTAGGGGTGACAGGGAATGAAAGAATGGAGCCAAAATCTGCAGGGAAAGCAGGAACTCCTGTCTAAAACGAGTTCCAGTTATTGCTGAAAATACAGATCCCCTTGAAGCCTTTCCAAAAAATCTAGGAATGTATTTGCCAAGTCTGAATTCATTCTTAAATCTCTTCTGGTAAAGGTCACGGGAACAGGCTGGGAGACTCTTTTCAAAACTGATTTGATTTCTTTGAGTGCAATATTGTGATTTACCAGCCTGCATGGGCAGGGCAGGTCTTGTCCTGGGTGTTGAAGTTTGGGTTGTGCACAGGAAAACTCAGAACGTGTCAGCTTGGAGGACAGGGCTGTGGTCAGTCCTGATGGGTGTTGGGGTCAGTCCTGATGGGTGTTGGGGTCAGTTCTGTCAGGTGTTGGGGTCAGTCCTGTCAGGTGCTGTGGTCAGTTCTGTCCAGGGTTGGCTGTGGTACCTTCTCACAGGGTTGTGGTCAGTCCTGCCTGGTGTTGTGGTCACTTGTTTCAGGTGTGGTCAGTCCTGTCAGGTGCTGTGGTCAGTCCTGATAAGTGTTGGGGTCAGTCCTGTCAGGTCTTGGCTGTGGTACCCTCACAGGGTTGTGGTCAGTCCTGTCAAGTGCTGTGGTCAGTTCTCTCCAGGGTTGGCTGTGGTGCTTTCACAGGGTTGTGGTCAGTCCTGCCTGGTGTTGTGGTCACTTGTTTCAGGTGTGGTCAGTTCTGTCTGGTGCTGTGGTCAGTGCTGTGGTCAGTGCTGTCAGGTGCTGTGGTCAGTTCTGTGGTCAGTGCTGTGGTCACCCATCCCAGGTGTGGTCAGTGCTGTCCAGGGTTGCCATAGCAGGGTCTGACCCAGCTCCTCCCACCCCTCACTGCCCACGGGGGCCCCTCTGAGCAGGACCCAGTTCTGTGTCCTGGGGCATTCCCTAGGCCTGCCCTGACTTCCAGAATGTTCTCTGAGCCTTCTGCCCCCTCCTTTCAGCCCTGCCAGAGCCTGGGAGCAGCTCCCGCTCTCTCAGGACGAGTGTGTGAGCGTGTGCCCCTTAAAACCTTGTTGTGCTTTCAGGGAAGTACCTCAGACAGAAGAGAATCGACTTCCAGCTGCCTTACGACATCCTCTGGCAGTGGAAACACAACCAGGTAGGAGATAAAATGTCCCTGGGGTTGCCAAAATTGGGATCAGAAGGAGCAGCAGCACTCAGGGGGTTGCCAGGATTGGGATCAGAAGGAGCAGCACTCAGAGAGAGCCTGTTCACACATCCCAGCTGTGAGAAGGGATTTGCATGTGTGTTTAATGTTGAAAATTCCCATTTTTCCATCTCCTGCAAAATAGCAACCCTGTGAGTTTCTGCTCTGACAAAAGTCATTCATTTGGCTGCAGACTTTTATTTTGGCAGTCTGTGTGGGGAGCTGGTTTCAGACACGCCTCGGGAGAATTGGGATGTACTGCCAGCAGCACTGAGAAATTTCAGCCTTTATTTTTCTTGGATCAATCCCAGCAGAGTGGAATTTATTTTTCACTTGCAAGCTGAAATTTTCATACTGAGGAAAGAAGAGAAACTGTTTTAACAGTCTCGTTCTTTTTTAAAGAGCTTTAAATATGTGCAGGCTTAAAAATAGGATTTTTTATTTTTTTTTTTTTTTATTGCTGAGATGTTTTCACCGAGTGATTTACACAGGATTTAAGGAAGAATCTCCCCTCAGATGTGGAAATGAGCAGGGCACATTCCCAGGTGCTGTGGCTCCAGCTGCACTCCAGCACCCCTGCAATCTGATCCTTAAGTCAGGAGCACTGGGGACATCTCCAGGACACTTTCTTGCCATATATTAACAATGGCCTGTCTCATCTGTTCAGTATTTTATAAGTAATAAATACATGGAATCTGTTTTCTTGACATTCTCCAGCTCTCCCTGGAATACTGGAGGCCCTTGCAGAGGAATTTCTCTGTACAGGGTGTGGAGATGTCTGGGTTGTTCCTGTGGGTCACTGAGGGAAGGTTCTTAGTGCAGGAAATGTGTGTGAAATAGAGAATAATTGGAAAATATTCCTTAGAGCTTGTTTGACAGGCTGGAATATATATGAAATCATGAGTTGTAAGCTCCCCTTTCCCTTCCCATCATCTGCAGAGAAGATGAATCTGCATTTCTCCTGGCTCCCACCTGTACTCACAGCTCTTAGAGAGTCCCAGAATCCTCTAGAATCCAAAAAAACCCTTAAGTCATCGAGTCACTTGGATAAATCAGCACCTGGATTTTTTTGTGTTCACTTTTTTAAGCATTGGCACATGGTGATTCCACCAAAGATGGTTTCTCCAAAGTAGGTATAAAGAATTCCTGTTCTTCTAAGCCCTGTTGAGAGGAGCCTGTCCTCAGGACAGCTGTTTGCCACATTGCTCTGGGCACACAGAATAAATCATGTGTGAACAAACTGCTCCACTGTCTCAGCAAGCCCAAATTCTACTTATTCAGGTCCTTTTTGGGACCTGTTTGTTAATGCAGTCTGAGCCTAGAGAAGAGAGCACAGATTTCTAGTAATGATTACAGAACAGTTGTCTATGTACAGAACATCATTTCCCTGATCCTTTTGAATAACAGATGCACTTATACAATGTATTAAAATTTTCTTTCTCTTCCTTTTAGTTGTATAAAAAGCCAGATGTCCCACTTTATAAAAAAATCCGTTCCAGTAAGTAAAATCTTATTACTAAACTGTGGAATTTTCATGTGACACCCTCCTTTCTGTCCTGCTTTGTCCTACCAAAGACACTTCCACCTGCTTTTTTTTCCTTTACTGATTGGAATGAAAATACTGTTGATAAACAGTTCTGGTTTTTTCACCTGAAAATAATTCTTTTCCCTGTTTGGGTTTGGTTTTTTCTTTTTTTTTTTAATTTTTTTTTCCTCTGCAGATGTCTATGTGGATGTCAAACCTCTCTCTGGCTACGAGGCCACCACCTGCAATTGTAAGAAGCCAGAGGATGACAGTGGGAAGGGCTGTGTGGAGGATTGCCTGAACAGGTTAGAAATGGATTGTTTCTCATCATCTCCTGGGAGCAGACTCGTGCTGGGTGCACCCCTGCAGCAGAGGCATCAGCACAGGGAGGCAAATTCCCAGTTGGACCCTCCTGGAGCAGCTCTGGCTCCCCCACATTGTCACTGCTGACCCCCCCACCACTCCCAGTTGCTCCCAGTCAGAGCAGTTCCCTCCCAGCTCAGCCCCAGGCTCTGGCTCCTTCTGGCCCTGGGATGGTGGAGCAGTCACAGGAGCAGCTCCAGGTCCCCTCCTGGGCTGTGTCCCCCCTGGGCTGTGTCACCCCCCTGTGCTCGTGTCCACCCTGGGCTGTGTCCCCCCCTGTGCTCTGTCCCCTCCTGGGCTGTGTCCCCCCTGTGCTCTGTCCCCTCCTGGGCTGTGTCCCCCCTGTGCTCCTGTACCCCCTGGGCTGTGTCCCCCCATGTGCTTGTGTTCCCCCTGGGCTGTGTCCCCCTCTGGGTTCATGTCCCTCCTGTGCTCTGTCCAACCTCTGTGCTTGTGTCCCCCCTGTGCTCCTGTCCCACCCTGTGCTGGGAAATGTGTGTGAAATAGAGAATAATTGGAAAATATTCCTTAGAGCTTGTTTGACAGGCTGGAATATATATGAAATCATGAGTTGTAAGCTCCCCTTTCCCTTCCCATCATCTCCATCTGCAGAGAAGATGAATCTGCATTTCTCCTGGGTCCCACCTGTACTCACAGCTCTTAGAGAGTCCCAGAATCCTCTAGAATCCAAAAAAACCCTTAAGTCATCGAGTCACTTGGATAAATCAGCACCTGGATTTTTTTGTGTTCACTTTTTTAAGCATTGGCACATGGTGATTCCACCAAAGATGGTTTCTCCAAAGTAGGTATAAAGAATTCCTCTTTTTCTAAGCCCTGTTGAGAGGAGCCTGTCCTCAGGACAGCTGTTTGCCACATTGCTCTGGGCACACAGAATAAATCATGTGTGAACAAACTGCTCCACTGTCTCAGCAAGCCCAAATTCTACTTATTCAGGTCCTTTTTGGGACCTGTTTGTTAATGCAGTCTGAGCCTAGAGAAGAGAGCACAGATTTCTAGTAATGATTACAGAACAGTTGTCTATGTACAGAACATCATTTCCCTGATCCTTTTGAATAACAGATGCACTTATACAATGTATTAAAATTTTCTTTCTCTTCCTTTTAGTTGTATAAAAAGCCAGATGTCCCACTTTATAAAAAAATCCGTTCCAGTAAGTAAAATCTTATTACTAAACTGTGGAATTTTCATGTGACACCCTCCTTTCTGTCCTGCTTTGTCCTACCAAAGACACTTCCACCTGCTTTTTTTTCCTTTACTGATTGGAATGAAAATACTGTTGATAAACAGTTCTGGTTTTTTCACCTGAAAATAATTCTTTTCCCTGTTTGGGTTTGGTTTTTTCTTTTTTTTTTTAATTTTTTTTTCCTCTGCAGATGTCTATGTGGATGTCAAACCTCTCTCTGGCTACGAGGCCACCACCTGCAATTGTAAGAAGCCAGAGGATGACAGTGGGAAGGGCTGTGTGGAGGATTGCCTGAACAGGTTAGAAATGGATTGTTTCTCATCATCTCCTGGGAGCAGACTCGTGCTGGGTGCACCCCTGCAGCAGAGGCATCAGCACAGGGAGGCAAATTCCCAGTTGGACCCTCCTGGAGCAGCTCTGGCTCCCCCACATTGTCACTGCTGACCCCCCCACCACTCCCAGTTGCTCCCAGTCAGAGCAGTTCCCTCCCAGCTCAGCCCCAGGCTCTGGCTCCTTCTGGCCCTGGGATGGTGGAGCAGTCACAGGAGCAGCTCACCCCCCCACCACTCCCAGTTGCTCCCAGTCAGAGCAGTTCCCTCCCAGCTCAGCCCCAGGCTCTGGCTCATTCCGGCCCTGGGATGGTGGAGCAGTCACAGGAGCAGCTCCAGGTCCCCTCCTGGGCTGTGTCACCCCCCTGTGCTCCTGTCCCCTGCTGTGCTCTGTCCCCTCCTGGGCTGTGTCCCCCCTGGACTGTGTCACCCCTGTGCTCTGTCCCCTCCTGGGCTGTGTCCCCCCCTGGACTGTGTCACCGCCCTGTGCTCCTGTCCCCCTTGTGCTGTGTCCCCTCCTGTGCTTGTGTTCCCCCTGGGCTGTGTCCCCCTCTGGGTTCATGTCCCTCCTGTGCTCTGTCCAACCTCTGTGCTTGTGTCCCCCCTGTGCTCCTGTCCCACCCTGTGCTGTGTCCCCTCCTGGGCTGTGCCCCCCATGCTCATGTCCCTCCTCGGCTGGTGTCACCCCCTGGGCTGTGTCCCCTCCTGTTCTCATGTCCCCCCCCGGCTGTGTCCCTCCTGTTCTCATGTCCCCCCTGTGCTGTGTCCCCTCCTGTTCTCATGTCCCCCCCCGGCTGTGTCCCCCCTGGGCTGTGCCCCACTCTCTGGGGACACTCTGGGGACACTGTGCCTTGGGCAGGCAGAGGGGCAGTGCCAGGTGTGTCCCCATGGCAGGGGCACGGCCAGCAGGAGCTGCAGCTGTAGCAGGGGAGGCCCCACCCTGCCCTGCCCCTTTCTCCCAGGAAAATCCCAGCGCAATCCCCATTGAACAGCCCTGGGCTGGGCAGGGATCACTGTGTCAGGATTTAATTTAAGGGATTACACCTTAAAAACAAGCAGCATTTTAGTGTCTGAATAACTGCTTTTATTGTAATTGATTTATTTCTTTGTGTATGGATTTGTTATTGAGTCATATGGACATAATGTATGTAATACTGATTTTATATTGATTTATAAATTGATTTTTATATTGATTTATTATTGATTTATATATCAATAGAAATCATTAGATATATAATTTATATACATTTTTATATTTATGTGTCTATACTTCTCTAAAATATATATTTATAATCATCTATAATTCTAATTTTATATTCATATATTATATATTTATAGAAATTCTGATTGTTAATATTTGAAATGGATCATCTGCCTTGTAAATGCTAAATGCATTTAATATGGAAGGCTCACAAATAACCTTTAGGCACATGGAGAGTTAAATTCTTTGTAAATCCAGTGTAGAGACCCTTGGAATGAGTAACTTGCAATATTGGTGTCATAATTACATATTTGATAGTATCATATTTTTTATATATAATATATATTTATATTTATATCCTTATATATATATATATTTATATATGTTTATATCTTTATTTATATTTATTTTTATATATATTTATGTTTTTATATATATTTATTTTATAGTATAATTACAAATTCTACTCTAGGTCATGCATGTTTTCCTTAGATTGGGAAATTCTAATTGGTCATGGTTGGGATATCCTCAGGCAGGAACAAAGGGGAGGATGAGGGGGAAAAGGAAGGTTTAGAATTCTGGGGGTTTTGGTTAACCAGGTTTTTCCCAGTCCAGTATTGGGGGGTGATTAATGTTTGAAATGGATCATCTGCCCTGTAAATGCAAAATGCAACAAGTGACTGGATGTGAAATGAGAGCTCTGCAGGATTTGGGGTGAGAACCAGGTGGAACTATAAATGCAAAATGCAACAAGTGACTGGATGTGAAATGAGAGCTCTGCAGGATTTGGGGTGAGAACCAGGTGGAACTGAGGGGCAGAGTGGGGCTGGAGGGGACAAGTGGAAACAAGTGAAGAAGTGGAAACATTGAAAGACAGAAATTGTCTGTTAGCTCTGTGGCACGTGTGAGGTTGGAGGGACTGGCTGCTCCCAGAGCTCCACAGAAGGCAGCTGCTCTCTCCTCATGCAGAGATAAGCTCTGACTCCTGTCCCTGTGCTCTCGTGGTCCAGGGATGGTTCCAGAACCTGCCCACTCCCCAGGAGGAAGCTGCTTGTGAACACGTGCATGCACAGACACCCCAAGGAGTGTACACTTGCATTTTCTCCTCCATCCGTGAAATGTGTACAAATGATCTGCAGAACCCAAAAGGGAGCATTCCAGAAGAGCAAATTTCTAAATTCTAACCCAAGCTCTGTCAGTGGCCTGGTCTTATAGAAATAGGCACAATAATGGTTTTCCTCCAGCTCTAGGTGTAGGGTTCTATAAAATGTTAAAGATTATCATTGCTTTTTCTTCACAACTGTCTTGTTTTGGCAAGATACATGTCTGCTAAGGAATGGAAATGGAAAATGTGAACCCCCTCCCTCTGAATTGTTATAATTTTGAAATTAAGGGGCTCTCAGGCAAATATATGGGAGCAGAAATAACAGTTCTTTACTAGGGAAGAAAATTTAAAAAAAAATACAATAAACGATTGTTTATGGAAGAGATAAAGAGAACTGCCCCACAAATAGGAGTAGAACACGCACCCCCATTTCCAAGCCAAGACAAAAACCCTCTCTGAGATGTGCTCTCCCTGTGCCACTCCCTGTGTGCTGTGTGGGGACAGGCAGAATGACAAGATTAACCCTTTGTTGCCCCGCAGGAACAGGATGATTGAGCAGTACCACAACCACAGTGACCATTACTGCCTGAACCTGGACAGCGGCATGGTCATCGACAGCTACCGCATGGGCAACGAGGCTCGCTTCATCAACCACAGCTGCAACCCCAACTGTGAGATGCAGAAATGGTGAGGAGAGGGCTTCTGCCCCCTGCAGCACCCAGAGAGACAGAGAACCAGTTCAGCTGAGAGAGTCAGACCTAAAAATAGGGAGGGGAGTTGTGGTATTCACATATACGAACAGAGTCGTAATTCTCTCTCCCAGGATTTTTCCTGGAGAAGGCAGTGAGAATTTCAGAGAAGAGCAATTCTTGTCTCTACTTGCTGCTCTTGTTGTTTGGCACATGTGGAATATGTTATGGAGATTGTTTACCAAAAGTGATTTGTTAATTAGACCCATCTGGTGATGGTTGTTTGGATTGGTTTGCCTATTGGGTCAAAGCTGTGTGGTGACTGTCTCAGACAGTCATGGGTTTTTCTTTAGTCTCTCTTTAGTATAGTATCTCTTTAGTATCTTTTTAGTATAGTATCTCTTTAGTCTAGTATCTCTTTAATACAGTATAGTGTTAGTGTAATATTGTCACCATCATATTTTCTGGAAAAATCCATTGCCCAGGATTTCTCTCCTGTGAAGCTGAGAAAAAGGAAAACAATATTATCTCCTTTGCTTCTCCTGTGTTTTGCTGCTTTGAATGTGGTTTGGAGATTGTTTGTCCAACAGGGGAATTGTTTTAAGTTATTGGCCAGTCAGAGGCCAAAATACCAGCACTGCTGAGGGATTTGTAGTGACTGATTTGCAGATGGTAGAACAGGAGTCATTGTACATCAGAGTAGCGTGTGGTTCTCAGATAATTCTAGATTTAAGCAATAGTAAAGTTTTACATTTGAAAATCCAACTCTAAATGAAATAGTTGAAGAGACAGAGAGGATTCTGCCCTCCCCAGGTGAGACCCCTCCTGCAGAGCTGGGGTCCCAGCACAGGACGTGGAGCTGCTGGAGTGGGTCTGGAGGAGGCACCAAATTAATCAGAGGGAAGAAGCAGCTCTGCTGTGAGGAAAGGCTGAGAGAATTGGGGTTGCTCAGCCTGGAGAAGAGAAGCTCCAAGTGACCTAATTGTGTCCTTCTGGTACCTGAAGGAGCTGCAGGAAAGAAGGAGAGAGATCATTTACAAGGGCCTGGAGTGACAGAACAAGGGGCAATGTCTTCCCACTGCTAGCTTAGATGGAATATTGGGAAGGAAATGTTCCCTGTGAGGGTGGGGACACCCTGGCATTACTACTCTTGTTAAATGTGCTGTTCACTTTTTAGCTTTCAAAGTTTATTGTAAGAGATAAATAAAAGAACTGCTAAAAACTCCTTTTAGCATAAGCCAGGGCACAGCAGAGGTGTTGCTGCCTGTCTCTAACACTGCCACTCCGTGCACAAAGATGATTTTATGTTGAATTTTTGGGATATTTAATTGTATTTTGCCCCCAGGTCTGTGAATGGTGTGTATAGGATTGGGCTGTATGCACTGAAGGACATGCCTGCTGGGACTGAGCTCACCTATGACTACAACTTCCACTCATTTAATGTTGAAAAACAGGTAAAAAACCCACTGTGAGACCTTGAAAAATCTCACTAAGCCCTAACAGTTCCATAAAGTGTAAAAATTAACAAAACCTGTCGTGTTGTATTAGGCAGAAAATGTTCTTTTTAATATTGAGATAGAATCTAGGCCTTTGGGGTTTATTGGATTTTTTCTTTTTCCTCAAAGCAACTCTGCAAATGTGGCTTTGACAAATGCAGAGGAATTATTGGGGGTAAAAGTCAACGCATGAATGGACTCTCAAGCAAAAGCAACCAGCCTGTGAGCACCCACAGAAGACCTGGGAGGTCGAAAGAGAAGAGGAAGTCAAAGCACAAACTAAAGAAGAGAGTAAGTAGGAAAGACAGAGTTTGGGTGGGTGAGGTTGATGGGAAATCAGTCTGTGCCACCAGACCAAAAACTGGTGGTTTTGTAAATTTTAAACTTGAAACCCAAACTTGAAACAGAAATACAGTAGAGTAATGCTGCAGGTTCTGTCTCAGGAACTGCTTTGCTGAGTTCTTGGCACTGTTTTTCCTGTCTATCAGAAAAATCTTGTTTTCCAGAGGGGCCACATCCCTGAGGAACCCAGTGAAAGTGTGAATGCCCCAACCAGGCTGACACCTCAGCTACAGATGAAGCCCATGTCCAACAGGGAAAGGTGAGGGCTGATTTCAGGGAGATTTGCCTCAGAAATGGAGTTCTTGCAAATACTGATGTGTTCTTCTAGAAGATGGGGCATCCTGAAATTGCTGAGGATGCAGCTTTTAGTTCTCCTTGAGCAGCCAGGCTGGAATTCCTCTCCACTGAGGAGAGAAGGCACAGATTACACCACTGAATATCCAGCTTTTCCCCCACATTAAAGGATGAATTTTTCAGTAAAAAGCAGCTTTACTTCTCCTTGAGCAGCCAGGCTGGAATTCCCCTCCACAGAGGAGACACAGATTACACCTCTGAATATCCAGCTTTTCCCTATGTTAAAGAATGAATTTTTCAGTAAAAAGCAGCTTTCTCCTTGAGCAGCCAGGCTGGAATTCCCCTCCACAGAGGAGACACAGATTACACCACTGAATATCCAGCTTTTCCCCATGTTAAAAAATAAATTTTCCAGTAAAAATAGCTTCTTGACTAGCTGCCTAATCCCTGCAGGAATTTTGTGCTGAAACACCACGTGTTCTTGGTGCGGAACTGGGAGAAGATCAGGCAGAAGCAGGAGGAGGTGAAGCACGTCAGTGACAGCATGCACAGCTCGTCGCTGTACACGCGCTGGAACGGGATCTGCCGCGACGATGGCAACATCAAATCAGGTGAGGCCACTCAGCCACCCGGGACACAAGGGGTTAAACTCTGTCAGTCCACTCTTGGAATGAGTGACTTGCAGTGTTGGTGTGCATTTGTCTTGGTTTTACAAGGCAGGTGTCTGCTGAGGAAGGCAGAAATGGAAAATGTAAAGCCCTCCCTCTGAATTAATGTAATTTTGAAATTAAGAGGCTCTCAGGCAAAGATAGGGGTATAGGAATGACAAAATGGAACATCTCCCAGTGGGATGATGGAATTTTATCAGCCATGCAGTGAACTCACCAATTTTAATATTAGTGAAAAGCCAATATTATAATATATACCTGTAACACATATCAGCTATATTTCACTAATATGTGTAAGCTTAATTAACAACAGAAATAAAAACCGTATATTTACAACAAAGTTACTTTACCACCACAGATATAGGATCCATTGTAATATTTACAAAAACCCAGTATTATAACGTGTATCTATAACACATATCAGCTATTTCACTGCTATGTCTAACCTTAATTAACGACAGAAATAAAAACCGTATCTGTACAACAAAGTTACTTTAACACTGCACATAGAGAACCCGCTCTAATATTTGCAAAAAGCCAGCGCTGTGCCGTGTGTGTGCAATGTGGAGGTGACCCTGTCGTGCTCTCTCAGATGTGTTCATGACCCAGTTCTCGGCGCTGCAGACGTCACGCTCGGTGCGGACGCGGCGCTTGGCGGCGGCCGAGGAGAACCTGGAGGTGGCTCGTGCCGCCCGCCTGGCTCAGATCTTCAAGGAGATATGTGACAGCATCATAGCCTACAAAGGTGAAGGTGATTCTCTTTAAAAACGTCTCTGTGGGTGTGTTTTCAGCCTCTGGAAACGGGCTCTGTGAATAGGAAATGCTGGAAAAATACAGGGTGTTAAATAACTCCTGTTTTTTAAAATTTCTTCCCTTACCAATAATCCTTAGCCTCAACTCCCTTACCAATAATCACTTTGCTTTAGCCTCAACCCCCTGCTTTATCACCAGAATCTGCAGATGTTGATTTTTCAGAATTCCAGAAAAAATCAGAAATTGTTATCCTTGTTCTACCTGTACTGCAATTACAGGCACCGACATCTAGAAATGCAGAAGCATTTAAATTCCCCTCGGCTCAGATAACAGAAAAGCCTTTTTTTTAACCCAGATTAAATGTTGTAATTTACTTTTCTTTGGAAGTTTCACTCCAGTGATGTCACTAAGCTCTGTTCCTGTTGCAGACTCCTCCAGGCAGGCGCTGGCAGCTCCTCTCCTGAACCTGCCCCCAAAGAAAAAGTAAGTTGTGCCTTCCCAGAGCTGCTTTCTCTGATGGATCTGCACAGTGGGAATTGCTGCTGAGCCTGACATTGTGCCAACATTCCTGTTGTAGAAATGCAGACTATTATGAAAAGATCTCTGACCCCTTGGACCTCGCCACGATTGAGAAGCAGATCCTGACTGGTTACTACAAAACTGTGGAAGCTTTTGATGGGGACATGCTGAAGGTCTTCAGGAATGCAGAGGTGAGGCTCTGTCTGGCCTGAAAGCTGCTCCTTACAGCTGCTCCTTACTACAGCAGCTCCTTAGGGGCTTTTTTTGTATTTGTATTTAGAATTTGTATCTTTTGGGATTGGTGAAGCTTCCTTGATTTAGGTTCAGTTCCATGAGGGGTTAATTTTTCTCTGTTTCTTTCTCAGTATTTCTCTGTGTATTTCTCTGTGCCCTCCTTTAATGCTCTTACAGGAATAAAAGAAGAAATTTATTCTGGAGGAAGAGAACTTGTGCTGATCCATTACTGATGAGGCCTCAATAGCAAATCATGAGAAATGCCTTAGGTCACAGAGGAGGTCAAGGACACTCAGGAATAGCTGATCTAAAGAAATTCTCATTCTTTTTGGAAGGGATACCCTGTTTTTCAGTATGAGATGTCATGGAGTCACAGAATCATGGAATGGTTTGGGCTGGAAGGGACCTTAAAGCTCATCCCATTCCACCCCTTGCCATGGCAGGGACACCTTCCACTGTCCCAGGCTGCTCCAAGCCCTGTCCATGCTGGACTGGAGCCCTTCCAGGGATCCAGGGACAGCCACAGCTGCTCTGGGCACCTGTGCCAGGGCCTGCCCACTCTCACAGGGAAGAATTTCCCCCATTATATCCATCCTAAATTCTCTCTTTTTCAGTCTGAACCCATTCCCCTTGTCCTGTCACTCCAGTTCCTGATGAGCAGTCCCTCTCCAGCTTCCCTGGAGCCCCTTTAGGTCCTGCAAGGTCTGAGGTCTCCACACAACCTTCTGTTCTCCAGGCTGGACATTCCCAGCCTGGCTCCAGTCCCCTCAGCAACTTCGTGGTCTCCTCTGGACCTGCTCCAGCATTTCCATGTCCTTCTTACACTGGGGGCCCTGGAACTGGACACAGCACCTTCAGGAGAGCAGAGCAGAGAGGAAGAATCCCTTTCCTTGATCTGCTGCCCGTGTTCCTTGGATGCAGCTCAGGACAGGGGTGGTTTCTGGGCTGTGAACACAGGGCCAGGGCACGTTGAGTTTTTGGTCACCCATCACCCCAAATCCTCCTCCCAGGGCTGCTCTCAGTCCTCCCCGTGTCACATCTATGCATCTGCTGGCAGAGTCAGGAGGGAGATGGAGACTTCACCCCAGCTGTGGGGCTGCAGCTGTAGGGAGAACCCTTCCCAGGAGCTAAACAGGAAATGAAGCACATTTTGGGGGTTTTTTGGTGATTTTTGCAGAAATACTACACCAGGAAGTCCCCAATGGGGCAGGCTATGCAAGGCCTACTACAATGCTGGCCAGAGTCAGGAAATACTACGGCAGGAAGTCCCTGACGGGGCGGGACCTGTGCCGGCTGCGCAAGGCCTACTACTACTCTGGCCAGAGTCATGAGGGAGATGGAGAGGCCACCAGGCCTCCCAGGTGTGCACAGACAGGAAATAAAGGAAATAAAGCACTTTTTGGGTTTTTTTGTGCTTTTTACAGAAATACTACGGCAGGAAGTCCCCGACATGGCGGGACGTGTGCTGGCTGCGCAAGGCCTACTACTACTCTGGCCAGAGTCATGAGGGAGATGGAGAGGCCACCAGGCCTCCCAGGTGTGCACAGACAGGAAATAAAGGAAATAAAGCACTTTTTGGGTTTTTTTGTGCTTTTTACAGAAATACTATGGCAGGAAGTCCCCGACGGGGCGGGACGTGTGCCGGCTGCGCAAGGCCTACTACAACGCGCGGCACGAGGCCTCGGCGCAGATCGACGAGATCGTGGGCGAGACGGCGAGCGAGGCCGACAGCAGCGAGACCTCGGTGTGCGACAAGGACAACGGGCACGAGAAGGACGAGGACGTCATCCGCTGCATCTGCGGCCTCTACAAGGACGAGGGGCTCATGATCCAGTGTGAAAAGTGCATGGTGAGCATCGAGGTGTTGCTGGGTCTTGGGTCTTCATGAGCTGCTGTGGGTTGCTGTAAAGTTGTTTATTTCGTGAATGCTTCAGTCTCGAAGGCAAAGACACTTCTGTTGCATGGAGATCTTGTCTGTTTGCTGACGTGGTGTGAAATAGTTCATAGATTATCTTGACTTCCCTGTGTGAAGCTTATTTTCTTGCTTTCCTTAATATTTGTTGAGAAAATGTGGTTTGCAGCTATAATCAGTGCCAGGATTTTGTGATTGGGCTGTACCTGTTCTTCCAGGTGTGGCAGCACTGTGACTGCATGGGTGTGAACTCGGACGTTGAGCACTACCTGTGTGAGCAGTGTGAACCTCGAGCTGTGAACAGGGTAAAACAAAACTCTCCTTCCTGCTACTCTTATAAAACTACATCAGCTCCTTAGGGGTTTGTTTTGTGTTTGTGTTCTGAATTTGTGTCTTTTGGGATTGGTGGAGCTTCCTTGATTTAGGTGCAGTTCCATGAGGGGTCAGTTTTTCTCTGGTTTTTTCTCAGTTTTTCTGGTTTTTTCTCAGTTTTTCTCTGCGTATTTCCATAGGGTGATGTGGGAATCAGAAACACAGAAACCTTAACAGACTCAAGAGGGTTTGATTTGTAGCCTTAGAAGAAGCCTAAATTGAAATGAAAGCAAAATACACAAACATTGATTAGAAAAACCATAAACTTATGCTTTTATAGTTATAAGTAAGAATATACTTTAAGTTAGAAAATATATATCTATAATACATATATATACACATATATGGATAAAAAAATATATATTATATCATCTTAAATAAGATCACATATATGGATAAAAACATATATATTATATCATCTTAAATAAGATCACATATATGGATAAAAACATATATATATTATATCATCTTAAATAAGATGATAAAAAGTTTTGTAGTATAGTAATGTAATTGTATAAAATAAGCTAAAATTTAGATGTTATAATAAAAACATATGTAATATGTTACATATTACATACGTGTAGTAAGACCTTATTAGACAAAAATATCCACATTACAATAAAAAGAAATAAAAGTGATAAATCAAAAAAAACAAAATAAACTCTGTAAGATCATGCTGTTGGGTCAGAATGTTATATAACACCTTATAAACAAAAAGCCTACAACCAACTACTTCCTATGTTATAAATCTCACAGCTCCCTTTCTTTTTTCCCTGCAGGAGGTTCCCATGATCCCTCGGCCCCACTATGCCCAGCCTGGCTGTGTTTATTACATCTGCCTCTTGAGGGATGATCTGCTGCTCCGCCAAGGTGGGTGCTGCCTCTGGGGCCAGCAGTGTGCAGGGATCTCTGGCATCACCCTGCCAAAAATACTTCCATTTTGCCAAAAATACTTCCAAAAATATGCCAATCACCCTGCCAAAAATACTTCCATTTTTCACAAGTGGAAGCTGTCACTAGTGGCATTACTCTGTCAAAAATATTTTCATTTTTCCCAAGTGGAAGCTGCCACTTGTGTCAAAAATACTTTGATTTTTCCCAAGTGGAAGCTGCCACTTGTGTCAAAAATACTTTGATTTTTCCCAAGTGGAAGCTGCCACTTGTGGCAAAAATACTTCCATTTTTCACAAGTAGAAGCTGCCACTTGTGGCATCACTCTGTCAAAAATATTTCCATTTTTCACAGGTGGAAGCTGCCACTTGTGGCATTACCCTTTCAAAAATACTTCCATTTTTCCCAAGTAGAAACTGCCACTTGTGGCATTACTCTGCCAAAAATACTTTAATTTTTCACAAGTAATTAATAACACCAAATATCCATGGAAGGCCAACAGCCATAACTACACATATGCAAAAACAGGGGAAAAAATAGCAAAAACAGCCCCCAGGAGTCATTGTAATTTAATGGAAACATGAGAAAAAAATGTTCTGCCTGAGTCAAAAAGGCAAAGGGAGTATCAGAAATGGTTGTGCACAAAAGAGCAGAGTGCTTGTGCCCTTCTGTAACTGCTGGGGTGTCTGCCTGCCCTGTGCTGCTCTGACATCCCACTGCACAGAGGATCTCACTACCTGTAAAAACAAGGATAACAAAGATAATCTGATCTGGATCATCTTTTCTGAGGACAGAGTCAGCCCAGGTGATTTGGAGGGTGGGTGATGAAGGTCTGAAATGTAGCTCAGGAAGGTGCAACGGTGCAGAAATGAGGGGACAAACAGAAATCAGTTAAACTCTAGGCAGGATTTTTTTACAGAATCATGACTGGACTGTGGCAAGCCTTGCCACAGGAGGGTGGAGAGGTCAGAGTGTAAATGGTTCCAAAAAGGATTAGACAAATACTTGGAAGAAGGATTAATCCCCAAAGCTCCAGCCTTTGGCTCTGAAAGTCCATAAACAGCAGAAAGGCAGGGGCAGCACGGGGAGGCTTTTCCTTGGCTTGCCTGTTCTGTGCTTTCTCCTCCTGAGCAGCTGCTGCTGCCAGCCAGAACATTCTGCTGTGTGACCTCTGCTCCTACCCAGGGGAGTTTTATGACTTGGGACCTCCCAGGTTTTGGTCATTTTTAGGTAAATAACAGAAGAAGTGGAATCTCTTCCCAGCCCTGGAAATGCTTAAGGCCAGGTGGGATGGAGCTCTGAGCAGCTTGGTCTAGTGGGAGATATCTCTGCACATGGCAGGGGGGTGGGTCTTTATGGTCTTTAAAACCCTTTCCAACCCAGGTCATTCTGGGATTTCACAGGTCAGAGCAGAGAAATTAAGGAGTGAATCCTTTTATGGGGCAAAATGAATCAATTTAAGCTTAGGGTTTGCCCTTGGGAAATACTTTTTGATTGCCAGCAGTGCCAGTTTGTTCAGTCCTTTTTGCATTGCTTACCTTTCCTGAGCTCTACATCTCATTGGAATTCTGCTGGAATAACCAAAGGCTTGGGGCTTCTCAGGACAGGATTTATTTTCTTAATAGTAACCTCCTCTGTAAGTATCTTCTCTGTCACAGATTTACTGCAGCCATCACTAATTCCTACACCTTTTCCTAATCATGACTGACATGTTTACATATCCTGTGGTTTGTCATGGTTTTGATCCCTTACAGGTTGGTGTTTTCAGTCTGGACATGGAAAGTTGTGGGTAGTTTTTCTGTAAAGCTGCTGTGAAAAACATCTGAGTGCTCTTGGCAGGTTCTGCAGTGGGTTCGTGTCATTCCTTACAATCCAGCATTAGGTTGAGTTCATTTTAATGATTATGAATGTTTGGAGGAGCTGGGGTTGTGTAGCCTGGAGAAGAGGAGGCTTAGAGGTGACTTTATTGCTCTCTACAACTTCCTGAAGGGAGGTTCTAGACAGTTGGGGGTCGGTCTCTTCCACCAGGCAGCAACTGGCAGAACAAGAGGACACAGTCTCAGCCACCTCAGGGAAGGGATAGGTTGGATATTAGGAGAAAATGTTTCACTGAAAGGGTAATAAAGTACTGGAATGCTCTTCCCAGGGAGGTGATGGAATCACCATCTCTGGGTGTGTTTAGAAAAAGGCTGGACGTGGCACTTGGTGCTGTAGTCTAGATTCTGAGTTGAGGTGTCAGGGCATAGGTTGGACTCCATGATCTTCGAGGTCTCTTCCAACCTCATTATTCTGTGATTGTGTGGTTATTTCCTGTGGTTCTGTGCTGGGCTCAGGCCAGGCTCTTCACAGGTGTGTCCTTTGTGTCCCTGGGCAGGTGACTGTGTGTACCTGATGAGAGACAGCCGCAGGACCCCCGACGGGCACCCGGTGCGGCAATCCTACCGGCTGCTGTCCCACATCAACCGCGACAAGCTCGACATCTTCCGCATCGAGAAACTCTGGAAAAACGAGAAGTATGTGCCAGAAACCTTTGGGTTTGAGCCATCCCCTTGGCCTGCCTGCCAAAGCACAGGAATTTCATGGAAGTCTCACCTTAAGGATGCAGGAATGAGCAAGGTGCAGAGGTTGGGAGTTCCCAGCTGGAGCTTGTGCTCCACAGCCGCACGGTGGAAGCACGTGAGGTTGGAGGTGTAAGCAAAGGGTCAGAGATAGGAATGGATGGATTTCTGTCAGAACCCAGGACATTCCTCTGACTGCCCTGGATGGCTCGGGACCCTGGCAAGAGGCTCAGAGGCCTTGGCACAGAGTCAAAAACACTGTGCCTTCGATTTTAACCCATGGAAAAAATTACCGGCTTTGAGTGAAGATTACAAGCCACAAGAGTTTGAGTAGAATGATAGTTTGTCACAGGGTGAAAAAATAGAATTTTGGGGGTTTTAGAATGAGGGTTCAAGAGGCAAGATGGAGGAATCTGGGCGTGTCCTGTCCTTCTTCTCCTTCTTCTTGTCCTCCATCTTTTGGTGTGATGATGAAACTTCTCGATTGGTTTAGAGTAGAGACAGACTGTCTAACATAGGTGATAGGTATTGGAAAATTATTGTAAATAAAGTACACGTAGTTTTTAGTATAAAATGTTGACACCACCCCAAGGGCAGGCAGTGTGTCAGACAGACCTCAGTGGGTCAGAGAAAGAATGTTCTGGATAAGAGAAAATAAACAACCTTGAAAAGCAGAACTGAGGAACCTTGACTTCTTCGGTCACAGGGCTGGGAAAAAGAGACTTGCTAACACCTCGGGGTCATCTCAACCTCAGAGAGCCCCTCAGATTTCCTCAGTGCTGGGACAGATTGTGGGTGCAGTGACAGCTGTGCTGTGCCCTGCCCAGTCACAGTCTGCTGTGCCATGGAAACCTGGCTGGGAGGGTGGGCAGTGGGACACGGAACACTTGGTGACTCTGCTGTTCATCACAGCCAAGTGCAAGAGAGGGAACCCAGAACAAAGCAGGGGGCATTGAGTGACTTGTGTGGTGGCTGATTGGTGTTTGTGTCCCTTGCACCTCAGGGAGGAGCGCTTTGCCTTTGGCCACCACTATTTCCGTCCACACGAAACGCACCATTCCCCGTCTCGGAAGTTCTACCACAACGAGCTCTTCCGGGTGCCCCTGTATGAAATCATCCCCCTGGAGGCCGTGGTGGGGACCTGCTGTGTGCTAGACCTCTACACCTACTGCAAAGGTGAGGATTAAACACATCCCTAAGCATCTGGGCACTGGGCTGTGGTGGTTTAACCCCTGCTGGAAGCTCAGCGTTACCCAGACACTCACTCCCCCTGGGATGGGGAGGGGACTGGGAAAAGTTAAAACCCAGGGGTTGGGATAAAAACAGTTTCATGGTTGGAATAAATTAAAATATTGTAGTAGTAATAATGATAGCAGTAGTAGTAATGGAAAGGGAGGTTACAGAAAGAGAGGTGTCCAGTATCTGAAGGGGCTAGAAGGAAGGTGAACTGGAGTGACAGGACAAGAGGGAATGGCTTCAACCTGAAAAGGAGATAATTTAGATTGGATAAACAGGAAATTCTTACCTGTGAGTGGGGGGAGGCCTTGGCTCAGGTTGCATAGAGAAGCTGTGGCTGCTCCTGGATCCCTGGAAGTGTCCAAGCCAGGCTTGGAGCAGCCTGGGACAGTGGAAGGTGTCCCTGCCCATGGCAGGGTGGAATGGGATGAGATTTAAGTCCCTTCCAGCACAAACCACTCCATGATTCTGTGAATAAACCCCAGGAAGTGATGCCCAGTGCAGCCACTCCCCAGCACTGCCTGGGGATCTCAGCCACCCCCACTGGGCTGGACCCTCCGTGGTGTGGAGCATCCTGTGGCCAGCTAACCCTAACCCTAACCCTGTGCTGGCCCTGCTGGCAGAGCAGGGCACCCTGGAGAGTGCTGGGCTGAGGGTGGGCACTGCTGGGCACCAGCCAACGTCATCCTTACCCTGAACCAGGCACTGGGACAGATCCACTCTGCTCTGGAAGCAAGGACATGCACTGGAGTGGTTCCTGCTGTGCAGAGGCCGTGGGGGATGTCTGTGTGGCTCAGAGCTGAGGACATGCCATGGCTTTGCAGGGATTCCTGTCTGAAGAGGGACAGCAGTGGGCAGGGAGAACGATGGCAGTTGATAATTGTGTCTGTGAAAGTTGGGGAAGTGTTCAATCGGAGCATGCAGGTTCTGACCTGCTGGGCTTCTGAGTGAGAGAGCCAGCAGGGACACTGTGACAAACCACGTGTTTCCCCCTCAGTCCATGACTGTTTTCTCCTTGTTCTGGTGCCAGGGAGGCCGAAGGGTGTGAAGGAGCAGGATGTTTACATCTGTGATTACCGCCTGGATAAATCAGCTCACCTCTTCTACAAGATCCACCGCAACCGCTACCCCGTGTGCACCAAGCCCTACGCCTTCGACCACTTCCCCAAGAAACTCACTCCCAAGAGGGATTTCTCAGTGAGTGCCTTTGCTCTCAGCTTCCTCACCTGTTTTTAGGAGGCTGGATGGAGTTCTGGAAAGTTCCTGGGTGTTGGTAGATGAAGCTTGCTCAGGCAGAGGGAGCTGATGCTTTAGGTGGAGGTCGGGCTCTGCTGCCAAGGAACAAGGGACAGGACAAGAGGAAAAGGCCTCAAGTTGTGTCAGGAGAGGCTCAGGCTGGACATCAGGAGGAATTCCCTCTTGGAAAGGGTGGTCAGGCCTTGGCAGGGAGGTTTGGAAACCCTATCCAAACCTCCCTCCAAATCCAGGGAGGTTGGGAGTCCCCATCCAGACCTCCCTCCAAACTCAGAGTTTTGGAGTCCCCATCCAAGCCTCCCTCCAAACCCAGGGAGGTTTGGAGTGCCATCCCTGGAGGTGTCCAAGGAACACCTGGAGGTGGCACTCAGAGCTCTGGGCTGGGGACAAGGTGGGATTGGGCACAGCTTGGGCTGGATGCTCTGGGAGGGATTTTCCAACGTCAGTCATTCCATGATTCTGTGATATGCACAGCCTGGGGGGAAAGCTGGCTGGAAAGCAAACTTGGAAAAAAAACTGGTGTAACAGAACCTGCAGTTGAGAGGCAAAGAGGTGCTCAAGGGATGGTGATGGGGAGCTCAGAGAGAGACTCAGAGGTGGCAGAGCTGCAAACCTTCTGCAAGTGAACTCTGCTCTTCCTGGAGCAGAGGCTTTTGTAGTGGCTTTGAAAGGTTCCAGACTCGTGCTGTGCAGAAAGCAAAGATGATTCTCATCATGATGGTCTGTGGCTTGAAATTTATTTAGAAGATGTGAAGAATCAGACAAGTCTGGCTCTAATTTATCTTATTACATGGTTGTGCCTCCCCTCCTGTGAAGTCTCTTTGAGGTGCAGCAGCCTTTCCACAGTGTCCTGCATTGGCACTTTCAGAGTATTTGATAGAGCAGCACTTCCTTCCATTGTGAATTTGATTTGGTATTGATCATAATCTTTATTGTTGTTGCAGCCTCATTATGTGCCAGACAACTACAAGAGGAATGGAGGCAGGTGAGTCTCCCCTCCCAGATTGTTGAGAAGAGATGAAATAATGTTTGTTTGTTGTGCCCACTCTCCTTCTCCCCCTTTCCCCTGGGTGCTAGGGAAATAAGAAGTTTAAATTATTTAAAGCTCTCTAAACTTTCAGAGAGATAAAAGGGAGCAAGTGAGGAGGGATAGGCAGCCTTAATAATGTACATCAGGAAAAGAAAGGAGCCATTTGAAAGTCAGAAAGAAGCAGCTGAGTGAGGAGATGCCCAAAACAGGAGGCTCCAGCCTTCCCAGATGGAGGAACCCAGGTCCTGGACCTGCTGCCTGTGTCTGTGGGGCAGTCAGAGCCCAGATCTGACAGAGCCTGCAAGAACATCCCATTAAGGGCTGGGCTGAAGTATTCTTGAAAGTAAAATTTTTTGCAACTGAAAATAAAAATCCATTTGTTTTTCAAAGCTGTGTTTGGTGCGACGCAGATAAAGCTGTAGCACTGGTGGGTGTGAGTGCAGGGATGGAGGGAAGAAATTGAGCTCCAGGGATCCCCAGCCCATGGATGAGTCCTGGACTCGCTGAGAATTATCCTTTCAGGTGAAAAACTTCTGTTCAAACCCCTTTTTTCCTGCAAGGTCATCCTGGAAATCGGATCGCTCGAAACCACAGATCAAAGACTTAAACCAAGAGGAAGATTCCCTGCCCCTGATGGAGGAGGTGCTGGGGGCCCCTGAGCAGGCTCCAGGGGAGCTGCCCAGCCCCGAGGAGCCCAACAAGGAGCCCGTGCCCAGCGAGAGCTGCGAGGCTGACAAGAAGGGGGACGAGAACCCCTCGGACACGAGGCCGCTCTGCAGCCCCGAGGAGCGGCGGCACCTCCAGAGGGAGAGGCTCAACCAGATCCTGCTCAACCTCCTAGAGAAAATCCCAGGGAAAAACGGTGAGTTCAGGCTCTGCTTGCACAGCCTCTGGGTCTCCTGTGGGTCTGGGGTGGCTTGGCTGAGCTGTGTTGGTAAAATGAATGTTTTTGTGTGAATTTCTTGCTAGTGGGCATTAAGAAAATCAGTTTTCTTTGCAGCCACGTTTTTCTTTGCAACAGAAATCCACTAAATCCAAGTGAAATTTCTTACAATTGACACTGTTTTGTATCATATTTTTAATTTTTTTTTTTTTTGCATCGTATTTTAAATTTTTTTTACATAACATTTTTAATAACCACAAAGCCTTTCCACAAACTAACTGCCCCCTATCATTCCATATCTACAATGGAGTAACTTAAGAAACAGGCCAGGAAAGACTGAGGGGAATTTGGAAAGTCTCTTTGGACCTTTCATGAGCTTTCCTTTGGTTCTGAGTACCTGCTGTAGGTGTTGTCTGCTGTGGGATAAGGGCACACTGGTGAAGTGTGACCCTGCTTTTAAACTGAAGCCCAGGATGAGCCCTGTCCAGTCTGTTCAACGCCAGTCATGGACTGATGCTTCACGGGGGTTGGGAGGATTTTTGGAGGTTGTCTGATCCAGCCATGGCTCCGGGCTGGGGTCACTCAGCACCTTGTCCAGGCATGGCTTGGATTTCCTGGAGGGAAAAATCCTTGAAAGAGCCAGGAATGAGGAAACAGGAATTTTGTGTGGGAGGCAGCGCTCCGTGCTGTCTTCAGTACTGCTCCCAGCTTAGATCTGATGACCCTGGAGGTCTTTTGCAGCCTTTTTCAGCCCTGCAGTGACTGAAATGCCCTGTGGCCCTGTGCTCTGTTGCAGCCATCGATGTCACCTACCTACTGGAGGAGGGCTCGGGCCGGAAGCTGCGGCGCCGCACGCTGAGCATCCCCGAGAGCAGCTTCAGGAAGTGAGCCAGGAGGGGCAGCCGAGCTCTGGGCTCTGTCTGGGCTGGGGCACAGCAGCAAACTGACAAAATACAAACAGTAGCACCTGGGGGGCCGGGCTGGCACGGTGCCCACCCTGCTCTGCAGTGCTCTTGGTGTGTGTGTTGGTGGGCGTGCCTTGTATTGATGTTAGGTACTGAGGAAACCTCGTGGTTATTGTCCAGGATGGTCAAATTTAATTTATTTTTGCTTGATATTCCCACTCAGAGGAGAAAAAACACCCAAAAAAAAAATTAAAAAAAAATAATAATAATAGGAAGGGCAGAGGAAAAGGACTGAGTTACTCTGAGGAGGATGTTCCCCACGGTCACTGCTAACCTGGCATTGTCCCAGCCACCCTCAGCACCGCCAGGGAAGGGAATCCAGGAATCCAGAGGGGAGAGCAAAGGCCCAGTGGCTTTAAAGAAAAAGCTGCCCTGAAGCTGAGGCCTCTGATTTGCACAAGTTCCAGAAGAGAGGAGTCCCCAGCCGAGCGCGAGGGTCGCCGTGGGACAGCTGAGCAGCGTCCCTGTGGTCTGTGCCAAGGAGAAGCTTCCAGAGGCCCTTGGAGCAGGGCAGGAGCGCGGGGAGGAGGCACTTGCTGTGTGGGGGGAGGGTGTGGGCTGTGAGTTTTTTTTCACTTTTTTTCTGCAGAGAAATTTTATAAAAGCGAAGTCAGCTCCTGACGCCACCATTGCTGTTGGTTTTTTTGATAAGCTGTGGTTCTCGTGTGTCTCGTGTGTTGTGCAAATAAAAAAATCCGTTAAAACAAAAAAAAAAGGGAAAAAAAAAAAAACCAAAAAAAAAAACCAACCCCAAGGACCCTTTCACTCCGTGCCCGTCAGGCAGTATCCGAGCGAGTGTTTGTCGTGAGCTGTAGAATTTATCAACTGCTAACACTACCCTCGTGTGCTGGTGACAGCCGAGCGTCCGCTGGCCCCACCCCGTGGCCACTGTCGCGATTGTCGCGATTGTCCCGCCGGCCCCCGGGGCGGGGCTGCCCCCGGACGGTGGCTTTGCTTTCCTGTCTCAGACGTACACATGCATATCCAGTCCTGTTTTAGGTGTTCTTCTAAGAAATCCGGTTTTTAATGTGCCAAGTTGTATATATCTGCTGCGTGGATGTAAAGCAATACCGTAGTTACATGTTCCTTTTTATGGACCAAGCTCGTCCTAATGTACATTCTTGTTATTATTATAATTATTTTACTCTTAGTGGAACATGACTCATTCCATTAACTTTTATGTGTTGATTTAAAAAGAGAAAACAAAACAAACAAAAAAAACACAAAAAAAAAAAAAGAAAGGAAAAAAACCCTTTGAGAAAAAAAAAATATTTTATTAAAAAAAAAAAAGAAATAAGAAAATAGTTTGGAATATTTTCTTACTGTAGAGAAGCACTGTACAGTACCAGGATCCCTGAGTATAAAATACTCGTGCGTGTAGTAGGAATATCGCATGTCCAAACCCTCGAGTTGTCTCATTTAGTTTCAAACAGAAATCATTGTCTCAAATGGTGTTAAACACTAAAAAGTTTTTAAAAAAAAAAAAAAAAAATAAAGTGCGTACAGAAGCGAGACACTAGCTCTGTCATTTTATCTTTCTTTTGTTGAAAGACTAAACAAAATGTTTTTTAGACAATCAAATGTTAGGTAAGTGCAAAGAATTGTTTTTTCTTACTGGTGTAGAAATTAATGACTTTTTTTATTTTTTGGTTATTTTATAATACTGAGCAGACCCGTGTGTCCCCAGGATCGCCGCCGGAGCCAGGAAGCACTACGTTACTGCAAATAGAGCTGAACCTTAGTCTGCATGGGTGTAGGCTGTGTGATTGCTGAAAATAAATGCTGCTAATATATTTCCTTTTTACAAAGCATATCTAAATAGATCATTGTTTTGATGTTAATCTTTGTAAATTATGTATTACCAATTTTAACATTGGATGTAATTGCATAAAAAGCCTGCATCTCAATCCTGAGAGTCTAGTATTAAATGGAAAATCTTTTCCTAAGGTTGGCTCGGGGGGTTTTCTTTGCTGAGCTGGGGGGGGATGTGCCCGAGGGCAGGAGGAGGGATCTGGGCAGGCTGGATCCAGAGATCCACGGGATCCATGGGATCCACGGGGCTCAGCAAGTCCTGGCTGCTGCCCTGGGGTCACAGCAACCCCCAGAGCGCTCCAGGCTCCGGGAAAAGGGGCTGGAGAGGCCCTGGGGGTGTGGGGACAGCAGCTGGGCACTGCCCAGGTGTGCCCAGGTGGGCACGAGGCCTTGGGCACCAGCCCCTTCTGCTGCCAAAAAGGGGCTGGAGAGGCCCTGGGGGTGTGGGGACAGCAGCTGGGCACTGCCAGGTGTGCCCAGGTGTGCCCAGGTGTGCACGAGGCCTTGGGCACCTGGCCTGGGCCAGGGCAGTGACCCCAGCCCCTTCTGCTGCCTCTGCTGAGGGTCCTCAAACCCTGGGGACAGCTTTGGGCCCTTTGTGACAAAGAGATTGAGGGGCTGGAGCGTGTCCAGAGCTGGGAAAGGACTGGGGAATTCCCGAGGGAGCTGGGAAGGGAGAAAAGGGGGTCAGGGGGGACCTTGTGGCTCTGCACAGCTCCTGCCAGGAGGGCACAGCCGGGGGTCGGGCTGTGTCCAGGGAACAGGGACAGGAGGAGAGGGAACGGCCTCAGGCTGGGCCAGGGCAGCTCAGGGTGGGCACAGCGGGAATTTCCCCATGGGAAGGGTGGCCAGGGATTGGAACTGCCCAGGGAGGGTTGGAGTGCCCGTCCCTGGAGGTGGCACCTGGAGGTGGCACTCAGAGCTATGGGGACAAGGTGGGGATGGGGCTGTCCTGGCTCCCAGGAACACATCCAGCTGGGACGGGAACCCGGGATCACCCCCTGGGATGGGAACCTGGGATCACCCCCTGGGAAGGGAACCAACCCGGGAACAGCCACTGGGATGGGATCCTGGGAGCATCTCCTTGGTATGTGAACCTGGGAACACCCACCTGAGATGGGAACCTGGGAGCATCCCAGAATAGGAACCCAGGATCATCCCCTGGGATGGCAACCCAGGAACACCCACCCAGGACGGGAATCCAGGAACATCCCCTTGGTATGGGAACCTGAGATCACCCACCTGGGGCAGGAATCCAGGAACTCTTCCTAGGATGGAAACATGGGAACACCTCCTGGGATGGGAACACAGGAACACCCCCGGGATGGGATCAAAGGAACACCCCCGGGATGGGAACCCCCCAGGATGGGAATCCAGGAACACTCCGGGATGGGAACCCCAGCTGCTGATCACCCACCTGGGGCAGGAATCCAGGAACTCTTCCTAGGATGGAAACATGGGAACACCTCCTGGGATGGGAACAAAGGAACACCCCCGGGATGGGAACCCCCCAGGATGGGAACCCAGGAACACCCCGCGATGGGAACCCCAGCTGCTGGACGTCTCGGCGGGCTCAGTGTGACCCCAGGGCTCTGAGGAGGGGCAGGGGCAGCGCGGTCACCGTGAGGTCGGAGGGGCTGTGACCACGGCTGCCCGTCAGGCAAACCGGGCCAGGAGCCATTAAATCCAGATTTGGTGCCTATTCCCGGGGTATAAACCAGTGCCTGGAGCCCCCTTGCCCTGCACAGGCTGGGGACTGTCACCCCCAGGGCGTGTCCCAGCGTGGCAGGGCACTCACCTGCACAGGTGAGAGCAGAGATCTCTCACCTGCACAGGTGAGAGCAGAGATCTCTCACCTGCAGGCTCCCTCAGGAATGGAACAGCTCCTCCTCCTCTTCACCCCTTCTGTGTAACCTGATTTTTCTTTCTCCCTTTCCCAGTCTGGCTCTCTGTGATCATGAAAACGCCACGCTTGACCCCTAGGCTCCTTTCAAACCCAAGGCTTGGAGGGCTGTTTATTTAAAAAAAGAAAATAAATAAATGGAAATACCACCTGGCTTCCTCCCCTCCTGGCATGACCTCGTTGAAAAAGCCCAGAAGCAGCTGTGGAAATCAATCTAGGCTCCTGAAGGCGAGCCAAGGAACATTGCAATTAGGATATAACGTCACTCGTCTGAGAATAAAAACCCCAGAGAGGGAAGTGGAAATGAGAGCAGAGGGAAAGGAGAGCAGCTTTACCCGGGGGCTGACAGCGGCTTTTGGCCGCTGGAAAGGGAAATCGGGAGGGTGAAACGTGGCCATGGGAGGGAGCAGAGCCCGACCTGCCCCTGGGGCCGGGCTGCTGCTGCTGCTGCGCTCCCCGGCGTGACCGCTCCTTTCTTTCACTGGGGAGGTGCAGGAAATGCAAATTCTGGGATGAAATCACAAGCAATGACAAAACCATGAGGAACCTGCAGCTGCTCGGCCCCTGCTGCCATCCTCTGGGCTGTGAAAAGATGGGTTGAAGTTCTCTAAAGAACTGAACCAGTGGCCTGGGCTGGTGCCAGTTGCTGCGCAGCTCCCACGGCTGGTCCCCAGCAGCTTCTCCAGGGATATTCCTGGCTCTGGGAGCTGCAGCCGCCTCTCCCACGCTGTGGAGGAGCCTGGGCATCTTCTGGGCACCTTCTGCTGGGGTGTGAGGCCTCCCTGGCAGCATTTGGGATGCTGAGAGCCAGCACAGCCCCAGCCCTGCCTCTCCTGCTGCGGCATCTCCTCATCCCACCCACACGGGCAGTGCCAGCCCCAGCGCTCATCACGCGTGGACAGTCACAACCTTTATTTATTTCCAGCTTTTTTCCCCGTGGAACGAGCTCATTCCCGTGGTTACAATTATTTACAGAGTGCTGGGACAGCCCCGGGGCACGTGGAGGTGGCAGCGGTGGCAGGACACGATGGCACGGAGGTGACACGGGGCAGGGGCAGGGGCAGGAGCCATCCCTGCCCGGGCACAGGGGTGGGCAGCAGCTGAGGAGCCCCGAGCTGCCAAAGAGGGGCCGGGGGACACGGTGGCAGACGGTGACGCCATGCAGCAGTGACAGGCACAGGACAGGGTCCCCTGGAGCTGCTGCCAGCTCCGGAGGTGGTGAAGCTCTGGAGGTGGCAGGAGACATCCCCTCCCCGAGCTGGCACCCGCTCCAGCGAGCTCAGCTGCTTCCTCAGGTCCCTTCCTCCTCCTCCTCCTCACAAAATCAGGGATGTGTAACCAACGGGAACGAGGCCGGTGCTGTTTCCATGGCAGCAGCGGATCCAGTCCTCATCCACGGTGGAGAGAAGCTCCAGGATGTCCCCTTTGTGGAAGCTCAGGTGCCCTTCGGCCGTGCCCGTGTGGTCACACAGTGCCCGGACTGCCCTGCACCACAAATGTCACCCCTGCACCACAAATGTCACCCCTGTGCCACAAATGTCACCCCCCAGGCCACAAATGTCATCTCTTGAACCACAAATGTCACCGCAGACTCGCCCCCCCGGGGACCCTGAGGATCCTCAGAGGCTCCCCCAGCACTCAGGGGTGGGAATTGGGTGGAATCAGGGATTTCCTCAGGAGGAGGTGCCCCCCGAGGAGGGGTCTGTACTTGGCAGAGCTGTCCTGCCAAGGAGTGGGAGCAGAGCAGGAGGTGTGGGGACATCAGGGATAGGACAGAGGGTGTGGGGACATCAGAGATGGCACAGGAGGTGTGGGGACATCGGGGTCAGCGAGGATGGGAAGAGGGAAGCAGCCCCACACCGTTTGGGATGGCCACATACCCACCCTGCCCACTTGGACAGAGCTGTTCCAACAGCTGCCACACGCTTGCCCCACACAAGCTGCCACGAAGGCAGAAAGCACACAAGAAAATGCTAAAATCTGTCCCCAAAATGTCTGGGAAAAACATCTGCCCCAGGTGGGCAGAGACTCAGGCTCCCCCAAAGCCCAGCAGGGGAAGGGCATCCCTGGGGGTGCAGCCATGGCTTTCCCTCTAGAGCAGTGTGAGACCCCCAGGCCGTGTCTGAGAGCTTTCCCCCAGGCAGAGGAGACCCCCAGCCCTGCCCAGTGTCTCCCCGAGCCCTGCCCAGTGTCCCCAGCCCTGCCCAGTCCCCCCAGCTCTGTCCAGTCCCCCCCATCCCTGCCCAGTCCCCCCAGCCCTGCCCAGTGTCCCCAATCTGAGCACCAACAAACCCCTCCCAAGCACACACAAACCCCTCCCGAGCACACACAGACCCTTCCTCAGCATGACTGAGCACTCAGGAACCCTTCCTGAGCATGACTGAGCACACACAAACCCTTCCAGAGCACATCTGAGCACACAGGAACCCTTCCTGGGCACACACAGACCCTTCCTGAGCACACACAGACCCTTTCTGAGCACACACAGACCCCTCCTGGGCACACACAGACCCCTCCTGGGCACACACAGACCCCTCCTGAGCACACACAGACCCTTCCTGAGCACACACAGACCCTTCCCCTGCGCCTGCCCAAGCTGGGTCTTACCTGGACCTGGCCGAGGCAGCGTCAGGGCTGCTGGGGAAGCCTCTGGATGAAGGGTTGGTGGCTCCAAAGAGCCAGCCCAGCCAGCTGCCCTTGTCAGGACTGGGAGGATCACCCACGCCTGGGCCAGAAGGCGCTGCCTGGTTCCTGCTGGCAGGAGGCTCTGGGGGAGCAGCCAGGAGGTTCCTTCCAGCACTGGCATCATCCAGCTTGGCGAACGCTCCGCTTGCAGTGGGCAAGAAGAGATCTTCAGGGGAAGAGGTGCCTGAGGTGTCAGTGCTGCTGCTGGGCTTTGGGACGGGGCGTTCAGGGCCAGCTTTGGTCTGAAGGAGCTGCAGCTCCGTGCCTCTGGGCTCACTCGTGGCAGTTGGGGATTGCCCAGCCTGGCCCGGGCTGGGCTCCCCCGCAGCCGCCCGCAGCTTCGTCCACCACACCGAGGGGAACTTCTCCTTGCTGGGAGCAGTGTAAACCCTGGAGCTCTGGCTCAGCTGGCCCCACCAGCCACCCAGGCCAGCCCCAGTGCCCCCAGTGCCCTCCCGAGGCCCGTGACTCTGCGGGGGGGTGTCAGAGCCCAGCAAGGCGCGGCCCAGCTGGTCACCCCAGCGCAGCACGTGCTGCAAGGTTTGCTGCAGAGCAGCCCCCACCGGGGGGGCAGGGACCAACCCACCCATGAAGGGTTGGCCCCCTGTGCCCCCCACCCTGCCCAGAGCATCGGGCGGGGTCTCATCCTCCAGGCTGTCCCCTGCAGCACCGCTCTGGACCCCCAGAGACCCCCGCACAGGGATGGGGGGACAGCCAGGGGACAGCGGGGACTCCAGCCGGCGGGACAAAGGCCGGACGTCCACGGAGAGGTGGTGGTGCTCAAAGAGCAAGTCCAGGTGGAAAGTCAGCACCGAGAGGGGCTGGATGAGCAGCAGAAGCTCGTCAGCAAGGTGGGGAAGAGGGCCTTGGCTCAGGGCAAAGAAGGCCGTGGGTGAGTAAAGCACGGAGATCACACCTGTGGGGACAGGGACAGGTGAGGCAGGTGCAGAATGGCCCCTGTCCTTGTCACATCCCCACCAAGGGCCAGCCAGGCTGTCCAGGTCATTCAGAGCACCCTCTGTGCTGAAGATGCACCGTGGAAAATGATCCAGTATGGAAATTCTAGCCAAGCAGGGATGTATCCTAAGCCCAGAGAGGGATTTTCAGCCTGGCAGGTTGAGAGGGCTTGGGAAGGGAGCTCCTGGGCACCGTGTCCTTACCTGGGCTCTTCTGCAGGTGAGATATCCACAACTCCAGCTGTTTAATGCTAAACAAGTCAAAGGAAACCCAAATTAGAGCCCCTGGGACAGCTCCAACCTGCCGTGGCGGCGGGGCTGGCGGGGCCAACACCACTCACTTCAGAAGGCCGAGGATGAAGGCGTGGAACTTCTGCCTGCTGCTGCTCAGGGGTGCCAGCCCGGCCACGTGCCAGCACAGGGCGTGCAGGGAGCGGCTGCCAGGGCCTGCGGGTGCAGAGCACAGACACTCACTGCCCTGGCACAGCAGCACTCCGGGCACCTGGGCATGCCCCCAGCCTCACCTGTCTTCACCGAGGCTTCCACCACGCTCCAAGGGGAGTTTTTCCTCTGGCCCGTGATGACATCCTTCTGGAAGGGCTTCAGCCCGTCCTCCACGAGGGTGTAGAGCGCGGGGCAGAGGGTGTGCAGCAGCAGGTAGCCCACGTCGGGGTTGAGCCGGCTGTCCCCCAGCTGGGCCTGAGGGAGGCACCGGGAGAGGGGAGGGAGGGAGGGAGGGGAAGGGCAGCACCCGACCCTGATTCTGCTGCGAGGGATGAGGGGATCCCCAAATCCTTCCTGCCCAGCCCAGCCCAGCTCTCACCTTCTGCACCAGGTTCCGTGCCGTGCTGAAGTGGGCGATGACCTTGTCCACAGCGGAGCTGACGGCGACCAGCAGCGCTGGGGACAGGGAGAGGAGCAGGGAAGGAGAGGAGCAGAGGAGAGGAGCAGGGAAGGGTCAGCGTGGAGGGACCCGCCGGGCACCACCACCGGACCCCGCAGGTCGGGGACCCTCGGGGGCAGCCGCGTTCCCGGATCACCTGCCGGGAGCGGGCAGGGCGGAGCCCGGTGCAGGCAGCGCTGCCCGTCCCTGCTGCACTGTCCCTGCGTGTCCTTCGCTGTCCCTGCCCCAGCCCAAACACCGACCCGCACCCCCCGACCCCGCGGCTCCCGCTACCCACTCCCCTCCCCTCCCGCCCCGTTCTGTCCCACTCCCCCGCGGGGGCTCCGGGCAGGACTTGCCCCAACCTTTGGTTTGCTCGCCATGGGGCCCCTCCGCTCTTCCCCCGCCGGGCCGGGCGGCTCCAGCGGCGGCTCCAGCGGCGGCTCCGGGGACGAGCGGCTCGGGCCTGGCTGGAGAGAGCGGGGCAGCGGGGTCAGGCGGGGCGGCGGCTGCAGCGCTGCCCGGGCCCGGGGGAGGAGCGGGGCCGGCGGCGGGGCCCGGCTCGCTCCGGCTCATGGAGCCGCGGGCCGAAGGGCGGCGGGGCCGGGCCGGGCGGGGAGGAAGCGCTGGAAGCCGCGGGGCGGAGCGGCACCGGGACAGCCCCGGCACGTCCCGGGCAGCGCCGGGCGATGCGGGGAGACCCCCGGATCTCGCCGTGCCCGGCCCGGAGCTGCACCGGCACAGCCCCGGCACGTCCCGGGTGATGCGGGGAGACCCCCGGATCTCGCCGTGCCCGGCCCCGAGCGCCCCGGGATCGCTCCCACCGCCCGGAGGTGCGCAGGTGGCCCCGCAACCCCGCGGCAGAACCCCGGAGGGAGCCGGACTCACCCCCCGTGCGGGTCTCGTCTCCTCTCTGGGCCGCCCGTGGCACCGCGGGGTCCCCGCCGGGACCCCCGAGCCTCCGGAGCGGGGCAGCGCCCAGCCCCTTCTCCCCTGGGGGCAGCCCCCCCTTCTCCACGTCCCTCGGCTGCCCCTCCGCGATGGGCTGCAGGCTGGGCCGGGGTCTCCTTCTCGGCTGGTGGCCGTCGCTGGGTGCCAGCAGCTGTGTCCCCCCCAGGGATGCGGGGGGCCCCGGGGGCACAGGGGGGTGCTGGGCCGGCTCTGCCCGCTGGCCCTTGGGCTGCCGGGCGGCACTGCGGGACCGCAGCTCCTTGAACGTGGTCACCTCTCTCTGCCTGGAGCCGGGAGGCCTGGCTGGCCCGTCCTGCTGGGGCTGGGGCTGGGGCTGGGGTCGCTCCTGGCCCGCGGTACCGGAGAGCAGCTCGCTGCTGGGGGGCAGCTCCGTGTCAGGCGAGAACACGATCAGCCAGTCACTGCGGTCAACGCGGGCCTGGGCGAGCGGGGGCCCAGCCGCGTTCCTCTTCCTCCTCTGGGCCAGCTCGTGGAAGGATGTGATGGTCTTGGTGGCCGCGTCTCTGCAGAGCTCCCCCGGGCCGGCCTTGGGCTGCTCCGCCCTGTGCGCGTTCAGGACCTGCAGCCGCCGCCGGGGCCGGGGGGGCACGGGCGGGGGGAGCCCACCGGGCCGGGGCCGCGGCTCCGGAGCGCTGCTCGGGATGCCGGCATCCCGCCGCTCCGGCACGGGCGGCGGTGCCGGGGGCGCGGCATCGGACTCGGGGAGGGGGTTGCAGTTGGGGTCTAGGTCGGCGCAGGTGCCGGTGGTCTCCGGTGCTGCTGTGCCGGGAGAGAGCTCGTCGCAGTGGGAATCGAGGGAGTTGTTGCTGCAGAGGCTGTCTGGGCTCTTGCTGGCCGCGGCCGTGGCTCTTGGGGGCACCGGGGAGTTGTGGTTGGCGTCTGTGCCATGGCACGTCCTGTGCTGGTCAGCCAGAGCCTCTCCATCAGCCAGAACCTCTCCATCAGCCAGAACTTCTCCATCAGCCAGAGCCTCTCCATCAGCCAGAGCCTCTCCATGCCAGGCATTTTCTGTGGCAATGACGTTCAGCTGCTTGTCAGGGGATTGGGACTCTGCTCTGGCGAACTCCTTGCAGTACACCGAGACCGGGGAGTCATCCAAGCTGAAATCCGAGCAGCTACTGACAGAGGAGGAGGAGGAAGAGGAGGAAGAAGCCAGATCACAAGGGGGATCACAAGGGGAAGCCGCCTCCTCCTCGTCTCCGCTGTGCAGGCAGGGGAAATCCTCTTGGTTCTGCAGCCCCAGCGTCTCCGGCTCGGGAGGGTGGGACTCACAGCAGCGGCATTTCACCGAGGCATTGTTGGAATTGGCATCCACTGGCTCCCGGTTCTCCGGGCACTGGGTGCAGCCCGTCTGCTCTCCCCCAGCCGTGGAGCCATCCTGGAGCTCGGGGTGCCGGGAGAGGTGCAGCCCCAGGGAGATGTGCTGCAGGTGGATGTGGTTGAGGTTGCACAGGAGGCCTTTCTTTGGAGCCAGCATGGTGCTGCCTCGCTGGAAGTGCCAGGGCTCCCAGGAGAGGCCAGCAGCTTCTCTCTTCACACCATCCAGCTCCCTGCAAGCACCAAACACCTCCTGGTCAAGGCAGAGCACAGCGGGACAAACCTGGAGAGAGGCACAGCCGGGGGAAGAGGGACGGCAGTGACCTTGCAGCAGGGTTAGAGAAGGGGATGTACCCGAGGGAGGGGCTGCCCCGCAGCTTCCTGCCAGGTTTGGGGCTCTGCGGCCGGGCAGGGACTGGGGGCAGCCGCTGGTCCCTGAAGCACGGCCTGGGAATGATCCCGGGAAGCTGCTCCGGGGCTGGATTCCCTCCGGAGGGACGGCAGCATCTCGGGGATGCCATCAAGGAGAAAACGCCCTTGGAGCCTCGTCGAGGCGGGGAGGGGTGAGGGGGGGATGCTGTCCTGGGGATGGCTGGGGGCGGTGGCACCACGGGTGCTCAGGGACCAGGGCTTGGCCCGAAGCCCCCGGCCCTGGGAATCGCTGCAGTACCGGCACCGCACCCCCGGGCCCGGCTTTACCGGGGGGGAGCCCCGGCCCCGGGCACCTGCTGGAGGCTCCGGGCAGGGAACGGGCAGCGGAGAGCACGGAAGGGGCCCCCGGCCCTGGATCCAGCACCGAGTATCATCCAGCACCGAGCACCCCCCGACCCTGAGCATCCTCCAGCCCTGAGCATTCTCCAGCCCTGAGCATCATCCAGCTCCGAACATCCCCGGCCCTGAGCATCCTTCAGCCCTGAGCATCATCCAGGCCCCCGCCCGGCTCCATCCCCTTCCCCGTCCCCCGCTCACCTCGGCGCTGCGGCGGCGAATGCGGCTGCGGGAGGGAGGGAGGAGGAGCCGCGGCCCCGCCACCGCCCGCCGGGAGCCGCCCGGTCCCGCCCCACCGGCGGCGGGGGCGGTGCTGCGGGCATCCCCCCAGCCCGGGGGGCACCGGGGGTGGGTACCGGCATCCCCCTCCCCGCCATCCAGCCCCCAAAGACAGCAGCGCCGCAAATACAATAATTTATGTTTATTGACACACGGCCGGGGGGGAGATGGCTGAACCGCCCCCCCGACCATCCCATCGCGCCTTCTCCCAGGGCAGGGAGCAGCTCCAGCCCCCTGCCAGGCCCCTCCATCACTTCTGCCGCTTGTAGATCTTCTGGGCGAGGTCCAGGAAGATGTCCCTGGGCAGGCGCCGGGCGTGCTTCCCGATCAGCTCCTGCAGGCGCCGGTAGCTGCTCTCCTCGTACTCCCGGAACGCCGCGGGCATGCCCAGCGCATCGTAGAGCTCCTTCACCTTCGCCACCTTCTGGGGCTCTTTGCAGCCGTAATTCTCCTGAGAAAAAACCCTGGAGTGAGTCAGGGCCCATGGCAGCTCACGGGGCAGGAGCTTTGTTCTCTCTTCTCTCTTTGTCCCTATGATGTTTCATGAAAAATCTTTTTGCTAGGATTTTTTTCTCTTGGGAAGATGAGAAGCTTCAGTGGAAAAGAAGAACAATATTATCTGATGGCTTCTCCCTGTGTTTTGCTGCTTTGGAATGTGGCAGGTGTATCTTTGATTGGTTCCATGTGAATTGTTTTTACTCAATGATCAATCCCAGCTCAGCTGTGTCAGACTCTCTGGTTTCTCACAGGTTTTTATTATTCATCCTTTTTTTTAGCCTTCTGATCTATTCCTTATTTTTTAATATAGTTTTAGTATATAATTTAACATAATATAATATCATAAGAAATATGGAGTCAGATTCATCTCTTCCCTCCTCCTGGGACCCTCACAAACAACACCCCAACCCTTTTTTCTTTCTTCTCCTCCCAGCCAGGTGACAGCTCCTGGCACTCCAGGTGCACACCCAGGCTCTGTCAAGCTCCACAGTGCACTCACCTCAGAAAGGGAAGCTTGTCCTTAACATTTAGAGACAGCTGTGCTTCTTTAGAAGGACAGGAATGTGAAAGTGCAGAGAACTGAGCAACTCAGAGGTAAAATGGCAGCATTTACCTGCAGGATGTGCCTCTGCTCTGGCGTGGCCCTGCGCAGACACTCCACCACCAGCCAGCTGCACTTGTTGTCCTGGATGTCAGTGCCAACCTTCCCCGTCAGGGCTGGGTCCCCATAGCAGTCCAGGAAATCGTCCTGTGTGCCAAAGCCAAGGCCTGAGTGCCACAGGCAGCACCTGGCTGTTATATCAGCTTCTTTGAGCCGGGTCTCACAAGCTTTTGGAGGTTTGTAACACACCTAAGAGAGCTCAGCTACCTTTGGAGGTGTAAAAACCAGCAGGATGGCTTCTGGTGTAGTGTTGGAAACAAAAAAAGGTTTTATAAAAGGCAAAATAACAAACAGAAAAACTGATCCAGGTTTTCCTGCCCCTGGTAAAACACTTCACAAAAGCAATTAGTTTCTTTGTTCACTTCTTTTCTAAATAAATATTTTCTAAATAAATCTAATAAAATTGCCTAAGTGAGACTTTTTGGCTTCTGTCTAATTAGCTATCCTTAAGTCTGAAGTCCCCAAAGTCTTATGAAGTGGCTTTTCAGGAAAAGAAGAACAATATTATCTGATGGCTTCTCCCTGTGTTTTGCTGCTTTGGAATGTGGCAGGGGTATCTTTGATTGGTTCCATGTGAATTGTTTTTACTTCATGACCAATCCCAGCTCAGCTGTGTCAGACTCTCTGGTTTCTCACAGGTTTTTATTATTCATCCTTTTTTTTAGCCTTCTGATCTATTCCTTATTTTTTAATATAGTTTTAGTATATAATTTAACATAATATAATATCATAAGAAATATGGAGTCAGATTCATCTCTTCCCTCCTCCTGGGACCCTCACAAACAACACCCCAACCCTTTTTTCTTTCTTCTCCTCCCAGCCAGGTGACAGCTCCTGGCACTCCAGGTGCACACCCAGGCTCTGTCAAGCTCCACAGTGCACTCACCTCAGAAAGGGAAGCTTGTCCTTAACATTTAGAGACAGCTGTGCTTCTTTAGAAGGACAGGAATGTGAAAGTGCAGAGAACTGAGCAACTCAGAGGTAAAATGGCAGCATTTACCTGCAGGATGTGCCTCTGCTCTGGCGTGGCCCTGCGCAGACACTCCACCACCAGCCAGCTGCACTTGTTGTCCTGGATGTCAGTGCCAACCTTCCCCGTCAGGGCTGGGTCCCCATAGCAGTCCAGGAAATCGTCCTGTGTGCCAAAGCCAAGGCCTGAGTGCCACAGGCAGCACCTGGCTGTTATATCAGCTTCTTTGAGCCGGGTCTCACAAGCTTTTGGAGGTTTGTAACACACCTAAGAGAGCTCAGCTACCTTTGGAGGTGTAAAAACCAGCAGGATGGCTTCTGGTGTAGTGTTGGAAACAAAAAAAGGTTTTATAAAAGGCAAAATAACAAACAGAAAAACTGATCCAGGTTTTCCTGCCCCTGGTAAAACACTTCACAAAAGCAATTAGTTTCTTTGTTCACTTCTTTTCTAAATAAATATTTTCTAAATAAATCTAATAAAATTGCCTAAGTGAGACTTTTTGGCTTCTGTCTAATTAGCTATCCTTAAGTCTGAAGTCCCCAAAGTCTTATGAAGTGGCTTTTCACTTAATCAATGGAAGAAACTCCTGAGTTTCTTTCCTTTTTAGGAGGACAAAGGATAGTTTTGCCAGCCCATCAACAGGAGACACATCCCTACAGCTGACGAGCAGCCAGGGGCCTGAGGCAGCTCCTACCTGGATCTGGAAGAACTCTCCCATCTCCAGCAGGATGGCTTTGGCGTCCTCGTGCTCCTCCTTCCCGTCAATGCCTGCCTGAGGGGAGGGGAGAAACAACAGGGATGAAAAAGCCTTCCAGGACCTGGGATAAGGCCTTCCAGGACCTGGCGAGAAAGCCTTTCAGGGCCAGGGACTAAAGCCCTCCAGGACCTGGGAAAAAGTAAAACCTTCCAGGGCCAGAAATAAGAGAAAGACTTCCAGGACCAGAAATGAGATAAAGCCTTCCAGGACCTGGGGCTAAAGAAAAGCCTTCCAGCACCAGGGGATAAAGCCTTCCAGGACCTGGGACTAAATCCTTCCAGGACCTGGCCTAAAGTAAAGCCTTTCAGGACCTGGGAAGAAATTAAAGCCTTCCAGGACCTGGGGATAAATCCTTCCAGGACCTGGGGCTAAAGCCTTCCAGGACCAGAAATGGGATAAAGCCTTCCAGGACCAGGAAAAAGGCAAAGCATTCCAGGACCAGAAATGGGATAAAGCCTTCCAGGACCTTGGCATAAAGCCTTCCAGGACCTGGGGATAAACTAAAGCCTTCCAGGGCCAGGGAAAAAGTAAATCCTTCCAACACCAGGGGATCAGGCTTTCCAGGACCTGGGGCTAAATCCTTCTCGGGCCAGGGCTAAAGTAAAGCCTTCCAAGACATGGGGATCAAGCCTTCCAGGACCTGGGGATAAAGTAAAGCCTTCCAGGAGCTGGGGATAAATCCTTCCAGGACCAGGGAAAAAGTGAATCCTTCCACCACCAGGGGATCAAGCCTTCCAGGACCTGGGGATCGAGCCTTCCAGGACCTGGGGATCGAGCCTTCCAGGACCTGGGGACTGAGCCTTCCAGGACCTGCCCCCCAGGCCAGGCTGGCAGCAGGTGAGGCCCCTCCTGAGCTGCTCCCAGCACTCACCATGTACATGGCTGCAGCCACGGGCAGGTAGAAGGAGTAAAACGCTGTCTTGTACTTCACAATGGCCTTGTACCTGTGCCAGAGGAAGCAGGTGAGCCCCGGGGGGCAGGGGCTGCAGGGCACCCCAAAAAACAGCCCCAGAGCCACCCTCTGCAATGTAGGGGCTGCAGGCACCTGAAAAACCAGCCCCAAGGCTGAGTCTCTGCAGGGCACCCCAAAAACCAGCCCCAGGGCCACCCTCTGCAGGGCACCCCAAAAACCAGGCCCAGGGCCACCCTCTGCAATGTAGGGGCTGCAAGGCACCCCAAAAACCAGCCCCAGGGCTGAGTCTCTGCAGGGCACTCCAAAAACCAGCT